TGGCAAATAAATCCAGAATATTCTAATCAAGTAAACCCTCATACTGCAATGTGTTCAAGAGCCCAATGAACAAGTGTTGTACCTGAGAACTGGGCACAGCAAACAGTGCCAGGTGCTGGTCTGAAGTTCTGAGGGGCTGGGATTTGAGAGCAGTGTTTCCTCAGGTTTGATTGCAACTCCTGAATCACGCCTGTAAACCAAAATCTCTTATGTTTAAAATACGCCGAGAGGTCCAGAGGTTTGATTTGTGTGAACTAGAGAAAATAAATACTCCTTACCAGCATGTTCCACCTTTTGTACAATAATGTCGGTGGGTGACTGGAAGTGGGTGACCACAACAGAGAAGGAGTCACCCACTGCCTGGGTCAGAGGCTCTGGAGGCTGAGCCCAGGTGTTGTCATCCTTTCCATTGGACTGACGCTTGAAGTTTTCCAAGGATGCACTCATCATGGCCACTGAAGAGGAGTGAATAGATACTGTAAATCTTTTTATGAGTGAACAGTGAAAGTTTTTACTCTGAGAAGAGGTGATTAGTTTTTTTTTTTAATTGCCATATTTTCACTTTGCCCTTATGACAGACTCTTAAAAGATCTTCGATTTATTGTTGCATGTATTCTGTTTGTCTGTGGGTCATGCAGTAATGTGTTGGAGCATTACAGCAGAACTTATCTGTAATAAAAAAATGGCATGCACTGATCTAAATTTTTCTGACTGGTGAAAAATACAGAACAAAGTTAGATGATGAACAGCTCTATCACATTTTTCTAACAGCAAAACATCTTTTAATTTCTCCAGTAAAATGTGACGACTTTGAGCACTTGTCATTCATAATTTTACATTTTTTGGGAATGCAGGAGGAAAAGTTCAAATTTGAAATGTAATGACCTGTTCAGATCAAACATTTACAGTTAGAAGTATCAGACTGTTTGAATTAGTTTGCCTTGTGATCCAGCTCACTGTCAGCTACACCTTCACCAGAACACATTGTGTGCCATGTCAAATTCATTCAAATTAAATTTTTGGAAAAAGGGACAAAGTGAATATTACAGCCCTGGTATGTACCATGATGCAAGACAAGATTAAGTCATCTTACTTATTTCCTGCTGAGTAGGTGTTGCATTGATCGGCTCTTCTGCTGCATAACCATGTTCAAGGAGGAACATGCTCAATTTATTTCCTACAACAAACATGAACAGGGTTACTGCCTTTGAAGTTAGACTTTTATTCATTGGAAATCATGTAGTTCAGCCTTTCTGAAACCTACCTATTGAAAGCAGGATGTCCACAACGTAGATGGAACTATTCTCGACTGTTTCCACCAGCTTCACAGTCACAGTCTTTCCAGCCAGCAGCTGCCTGACTGCAACACAGCACTCGCCTGACCAGTTGTTAGCCAATGGCAGCACCCCAGCGATACGACACTCCATTGCCTGGACATAATAGAAGACACCAACTCTCTTATGAACTTGATGGTTGTCTGAGCATTACTTATAATATTCAGGGAACAAAACATATTTTTATAGCAATCACTGCAGCTTTGGACACTTAAAGTTACAGTATGTAATATTTAGTGATATCTAGTGTTGAAGTTTCATGTTGCAGCTGAACACCCCTCACCTCACCCTCTCCTTCCAAACATGAAAAAGAACCTGTGGTGAACTTCAGTTGTCATAAAAACTCAAAAGGTGTTTAGTTTGTCCAGTTTGGACTAATGTAAAAAACATGGCGGCCTCCATAGAGAGGCCCCCCCTCCATGTAAATATCAAGTATTTCAATGGAACTTTTCTAGGGTAACGAAAAATACAATTTAAATGAAACGAACTATTGAAAAACATCATGAGGATTATTCTACATAAAATTTCTGCCAATAGTTCCCTTTCACCTAAATCTTGTACACTGGACCTTTAATACAACTGATTTAAGTGGTGTGACTATGCACTCACGCAAGGACAAAATGGCTGGATGTTGGCACTCATGGGTCTGATCCTTGTCACAGGGACATACTCTTCATTGCCAAAGTCGATGTAAAGGATTTTCACCGTCTTCTGATCAGTTGACAAAGTCTGGACGAGTCCTCGGTACCAGTTCTACACATACAAATTGAGCCAAACACAGGTGACACAGTCAAGACAAAATCTTCTGATGGTTGTTAAAACCATTGAGAGGGTTTCTGCTCACCAGATCAGAGGAGAACTGCACTCCGCAAACCTCTCCAACACAGGGTACGTATGTTGTTACTGAGGGGCAGCTGTAAGCTGTCTGAAGCTCCACGCTGATGACCTGCAGAGCTTCCAGCAGCTCGGGGCTTTGGGCAAGAAGGTAAAATCTTCCAGGGCTGTAGAACTCTACAACAGATGCCTAAAAACCACACACAATTACAACAAATACTGACATTTGGTAATCAATATCTGCAGTTAAGACAAACTGGGAGTGCTTTACCTGGATTTCTGTTCCCATGACGGTTTTGAGTATGTGTAAGTCTTTTAAATACACCCTCTTGGGGCTGGGTGCATCAGCATGCTTGAATAAACAGAAATGAAACAAAAATAATTATTTCTTATCATGCAACTTTGCAGACGAATACCAAAGCTATACAATTACCTTCAACTCCAACTGGCCGTCTCTGTCTCCTGTCCCAGGTGAAGCAGTGATTTCCTTTGGTTGTTCTCTTTAGATTAAGAGAAACAAGTTTCTGCATCACTTGCTGGACATTATTTATCAATTTAAAACATTTTTGATATTTGCTTTTTAGTTATAGATGACACCCAGTGGTTGAATCAGCTTACTTTGCAGGTTCTGGATCAACAGACTTGCACGTGTGCCTGTGCACCTTCCAGTCTTCTGTCTGACACACCACAGAGCAGTAAGGTGTCTTCTTGCAGCGCTTGCACCGGAAATTTCCTACCAGAGAAGACCAGTAAATGTTCTATGATGCTGAACCATGAGAATGTGTTTATCAGTGAATTATTCCGGTATCACTGGCTGCTTGTAGAACTGGTGCACAGCTAATGGACCAGAACATACCCCTTCATATTGTACAGTTACCTTGGTGTCCACAAAAGTTGCAGAAATACACAGTCAGTGCTGGTGGCTCACATCCCAACACCTGTGAAAGCAGGAAAAAATGGCATTGAGAAGAAACATTTGAATTTAAACATGGTAAACAGATTTAAGATGAAGAACTGAAGCTTTGACACATACTCCAGAGTTACTCCTGATGACTAGTGGATGAACAAGACCTGGAAAACAGGAAAAGTTAATGTGTTGAAACTTAAGACCCAAGAGATATTTAGATGTGGATCACATTTCATCACATTTCCAAGTTCATAGATGAACACTGTGTTGTTGTGTTGGAGCATTTGTCCAAGTGGAATACATACAAACAGACATGGGTGATTTACCGTCTCCGGTGGCACCAGTGGCGGGGTGGAGGGGTGCTGCAGCCCCGGGCCCGGGGAGGTGCCGCAGAGCTGAGGCCGAAACAGACACGGGGCTCGATGACGGTTTCCTCAAGGGCTGGTTGGGTAGAACCATGTTCGGAGCAGGTGAACGGTTCATGGCGGCACCGTCAGCGTTATAACACGACTGATTTAAAGTCAGAGAGTTAATAAACAGATTAAAATACGACATGAGTGTAAAAAAGTGCGCAGGTTGTACTTTATCAACACGACACTAGCTTGCTAACGGTGCAGCTATAACTGTATTAGCTCGCTAACTAGCTCTTAGCAAGCTAATAAAACACAACAACAATTTTACAACAAATAAATGATGTTAAGCGACGTCACATGTTTACACGTGTGCAGCACAAAGTAAGACGATGTGGAGTTTCATTTTTTTTTTCTGTGTGTGTTTTGCGCAGTTCGTACTTTACCTGAGCGCACGTGTTGGCAGTGAGGGCAATCGCGTTGCGCATGCGCAGTAGAGTCGATGGCAGAAAGGTTGAAAGGTCAGGAGGGGATGAAGGATGGTTTAATTTTATTTTCATTATTTTCCCAATAATAAAGTCATTTACAGCAATTCAGGCCATAGAAGAGTGAGTAAATAAATGAAGTGAAGGTAGCTACTGTTGCAGACTGTATAGTAGCTCGTCTCTTTTGCACATCACTGTACACATCACTTACTACTTGCACTGTTTTATGTTTTTATGTTCTTATGCTTCTTGATTACTGAAACATTCAACTAGTCTCCTCTGTTTTAACTTTTAACTTTGCCTCAATTTAGCTCTGTCTAAACAACTCTATGCTCTTCTAAAAAAAAAGAAAAAAAGAAAAGTACTTATTGCACATGTCTGTACTGCTGGAACACAAGAATTTCCCCTCTGGGATGAATAAAGTATGTCCATCTATCTATCTATCTATCTATCTATCTAAATAAAGTATATCTAATCTAATCTAAATGAAATGTCCTGGAAATATCATATATAAATGAAAAAGTAATAAGGTGTTAAATGTGCTTTGGGTGCTGGATCCCTGTTTTCTGAAGCTTCTCAAAAAAAACACAATGCTCATTGAGTTGATCACTGGTTTGATGTGAAAGGGGAGAACAAAACAATGGGAACACATGCTGTCATAATGCATTGCAGCTCAGCAACTGATCACACTATAGACTGAATATAAATCTACATAGTGTATTTATATACAGTCTATAGATCATGCAGTTGAAGCAGCATCACCGACCACATCCTCCTAACTGATCACACTACAGACAGAACATAAATGTCTATAGTGTATTTATATACAGTCTATAGAGAATTCAGTTAAACACAGCAGCAACAAAACAGATCATTCATTAAAGTAGGATTTAATTTTAGTTTTAGTGCAGCATTATTATAAACAGTTGACAGTATTTGTGTGCGCGTGTGTGTGTGTGCGCGCGCGCGTGTGTGTGTGTGTGTGTGGTGGGGGTGTTCCTGTCGACTTTCCGCTGACGTCATTCCTCCCTGGCCTCTCATTGGCTCGTGTCGCCTCGTCGGTTTTTCGCTCGGCGGCCATATTTGTTGATGTGTCATATCGCAGTGACTTGTTGTGACCATCAGCTGGAGACACGGCGGGTCTGAACTTCGCCTTTACGCCGATCGTCACCTCGCATTCACCCGCATCATGGCTCATCCTCCCTCGGTGGGTGAAAACACTCGCGTCCTTGTTGTCGCCTCTTGTTTTTTTTTTTTTTTGCGTTAGATGCTAGAGTTAGCCGCACTAGCCTCAGTGCACTTGTAGCTAGCTAACGCCTCTCTCACCATCGTTAGCTTGACTAGCCAAGGAGAGCAGCGGCTCCATTCAATATGTCAGCCTGCGGTTTATCTTCCAAGACATTTGATCCACCCGCCCTTAGTTTGCTGTGTTTGTTTATGGAAAGGGTGTGCGCTACGTGTCCCACTGGTTAAAGCGTTTACCGGACGGCTAACCGAACAGCTAGCGAGCTAAAGGGCATTACATTAATCTAAATGAACCGAAGGGCTAATAAAGAGGCATCGAATACAACCGAGGCAATCACATATGTTCTGTGTTATAATACATCTGGTTAGTGTTATTACGGTGACGAGCTTTGACAGTGATCTGGTATGACACCTGTCGCAAGGGCATCATTGCTAATACATGCGTTGTAACTGTTGTGTTTTCACTGATTAGCAAGAAAAGATGGATTATGTTGCTGCATTTCGCTTTTTCGTTGCATTACCACAGTGGAACCATGAGGAGAACAAGGTGTCCATGTGTTAATTTAAGGTTTGAAATGTCCATCCCCGTGTCGAGGGGAAGGTTAAGGCTGGTATTGAAATAGAAAGTGGTTGGATCCCAAGGAGGATTTTGGGATCAGGAAACAGGGTGAAACATAGGAAGGGCCACAGATTATCTGTCAGGACAATAATGCAGAAAGCTGTATGAAAGTTTCTTTATGGCTTGCAGCTATTTTCAGTCTTCTCAGCAATGAATAACACAGTAAATACTGACAAAGCCAGAGGGATAGTGTGTAAATGTTTGGTGTAAGAGATGTAAAGCAGCCCTAGATGCTTCAGATAGAGACAGAGCTTCTTTGTTGATCCATAGTTTTAGTGAATAAAGGCCTAACAGCTAATTTTCATCACATCTCTAAAATAAAGTGAATCTATGTAAGACCTTCATTTCAATAGTAAGATAGTCATAAAATCTGGATGTGTTTCAGCAGTACCTGAATGGATTAGCAAGACATTTTGACCTGAAGGCTGGGTTCTAATCATGAATACCTATCATAGCTGTATGACATACTGCACCACACGCCTACAAGTGTAACTACGTCAGGTATTGACAGGACCACACCTCCAAGTTTGTGTGTGTTTGCATGTGTCAGTTCTGTATGCCTTCAAGCTATGTGTCGTTCAGTTCCAGATAAACTTGCAAATCAGCAGAGAACCATCATGAGGAAATGCAAGGTTTATTGCCAGCAGCGCCATGACTGTACCCTTTGACCAGGAAGACACAATATGCGGATAGCATAACGCTGCTTTATTGGTTCACAGGGAAACTGTTGTGCAGTCTATAAAAACTCAGCTAATCAGTTTTTACTTTCACTCAGCTCTCTTTTTCTTTCTTCCCCCTCCCACTGACAGATTTAACCTAAGGAGGGACCATGGAACAGCCTGGTCCTGCTTCAGATGCACACATCATGGAAGGATTAGAGGCCGAATCTGTGTCTGAGGGATCTCCCCTTGTGGATCAGCTCAACAACAGCACAACCAACGTAGAAAATGAGGAACAAATAAATCACAATGGTGCAGTTGAGTCAGAAATGGCAGAAGATAAAGCACAGATTGAAAGGGAATTAATCAAGAGCACTACATGTGTTGACACTGACACAAAGACAGAGATGGAAGCTCTACCGTGCAGTCAGGAACAATTGGAGGGGAGTGAGATGTATGCTGACACTGGCTGTAATAACAGTACAGTTTCTATGGAAGACGGGATATCTTTATTTTCAGATGAGGCTGGTGGAGCTTTGGTTGCCCTTGACACCTCTTTAGACAATGTGGTAGAAAACTCTCCCTCTGTTCTTGAAGGCACAACAGAAACCTTTTTAACTTTTGATCAAGCTGACGTTCCAAATGCCACAACTCCAAACTGCAATGATCAGCCATTAGACTTGGTTACAAATTGCTCCACTGAAGCATTGCCTGCTAATGCCGATGATGGTTCAGTTGAAAGTCCATCACCTTCTTCTGTCCAAAGCACTTCCAAAAGCTCCTCTACTGACTCCTCAACCACTTCTGGGATCTCGAATGGCCTCTCAACCCCTAGTTCAGACACTGTCAGCTCCTCACTTGCTTCCAGTCCACAAACCAGTGCCAACACCTCAGCCCCCTCACAGTCCACGTCAAGCCCGTATGACACAGATTGCAGCCGGAAGCTTATTTCCCAAATCCAGCGTTCGCTGTCACAGGAGTCACTGCTGGATGAACTAGAGTCAGAGCTTTTCAACTGTCAGCTGCCTGAGGGTGAAAGTGGAAGCGAGAGAAAAGGGAGCCCCCCAGTCAATGGACTCCCCACAGACCAGGAGGGCTGTATGATGGTCTTTGAGAAGTGTGTCCAGTACAAGTATGCACAACAGGAGAAAGCTATACAGAGGTAATGTGATATTTTGTAAGTTTGTAAGTCACTACCTCATTTTACATATTACATTGAAATGGGTCAGATTAACAAGAGATTAACCAATTTACTAGTTATTTTTCCTTTTAGTTCATTACACATATTAAAAGTGTCATTTTGAAGCTGACACACAAGAATGATTGTAATTTAAAGTGTTAGTGTGTGTGTGTTTTATAGTAATAAAACTAGACTCTGAATAAATGACACAGAATAACACACATATTTTTTTCTATCCTGCTCCGTCTTCTGCCCTAATTAACAAGAGTGTAAATTCCTCAGGGCTTTGTGTGGACTTGACCTGAATTGGTATTGTGTGCCTATTTGTGTGTGTCTAGGCTGCTTGAGGACAACAAAAGACATCAAGAGCTGATCCTGGGTATATGTTCAGAGAAGGACAACATGAAGGAAGAGCTGAAAAAGAGGGCCGAGACAGAAAAGCAACACATGGCCACCATTAAAAAGGTTAGTTTCATTCTCTATTGTCTGCTCATGTTCAACATGGTCACATGGCACTGCCTGTTTTGGTAATACACAATTGATGTGCTCTGTGTGTGTCCTTTGGTCCAAAACAAGCTCATTCTTGAATAATGGGCTTTGTTCTTATTAATAGATTTTCTAAAAACAATGGGAATTCTTTTTACTTTGGTTTTCATCAGCAAGGAAGTGCTTCAATGCAATGATTTGTCTTGACTTCCTGCCTCTACCAGATATTTAACTATGATAACGCCTTCAATCTTTTCAGTGTAGAGTTTATTTTTAATGAAGATTGCTAACTAGATTAGACAACAGAAGATGAATGACTTTGTAATTAGCTTCAAAAAAATTGTTTGTTAATACAATATCTCATCATATAGGAAACGGATCATAACATAACATATGTTTTTTAATTAGATAAACAAATCTTAAATTATCCCTTTTTTATAACTATGCAATTTCAAGAGAAATGCTGGACTGAAGCCAATGCTGACTGTTGTTCAATTGAAGGATGAAACCAGAGGATAAATGTGTAGCAGCACTAAACACAGAGACGCTCCAATTCAATTAAATCTGCAGTCCAGCCCTGTGTGGCTGGTAATTAAGGAAGTCAAACAAAGCAATCTGTAGCGAGAGAAGAAAAGGACATTGGGTCCTGATTACTAGCATTCAACATGCAACACATGCTTCAAAGGCTTTATCCATTTGGGGGAAATCTGTATTTTACCTTTGAATTTAAAAGCTCTCCAAAATCTCAATACACTAATGTATTTTGAAACACCTTATGTCTTTTTTTTGTGTCTCATTCCCTTTGATTAGAAAAGCTCACCATGTAACTCTCAGTCAAGTGCTGCTCTATTCATTGGGGTTGGTCTAGCAACGCTGTTGCCATAGAGGGAACAATAATTAATTCCTGCTATCTTGGTAACAGCATTTGTTTAAGCATTGTGTAGGAGGAATTTTCTTTACATACGCTCTATGTATGCTTAGATCCATTTAATTTATCTAGTATCTAGTACATGTTGCCCAACAAGTTGTTTAAACTGTGTACTCCCTGTTTCTGCAGTTGGAAGGCAGGGTGGAGGAGCTACTCAGAGAACTGAAGGAGTCACGGGAAAAACTAATTCACCAGGACCAGGCTGCTAAGGCTGCCCTCCAGCAAATGCAGAAGGAGATGGCCTTCCGATTAGAACAGGTAAAACTGGGACATAAATACTTTGTGACTCTCTGATAAGCTGGTCGTGCAACATAGTTTTGCTCCAGTCTGGCATTTATTTGCGTGTCTGGTCTTGTTCCATTTAAGCCTGTGACAGAGCAGGTATCAGGTTTTTTTTTTTTAAATGTGGCTAAACCCATTAAAAAGGCGATTCACTCCTTCCCCATTGACAGTACCAGAGTTTGCCTCCCTGTAATTTCCCCCCAGTGAGTCATGTTCAACATCACAAAAGCAAATGAAACTGAGAAGCTCTCTCACTGCACGATACGAGGAACACTAAAGCCGTTTTATGTTTTTTCCTAAATGTAAAAAGACAAGTATGCATTCATGGCTATTTATATTTGGAAGAAGAATTTAGCGCATTCACTTAGGTTTCATGTTTGCTTCCCTGCCGATCGGAGCGGAGGAAAACCTGTGTCGAGCTAATGCCGATTGTATCCATTCCCATTGCAGACCTAAGCCAGATGTTAGTGGGTGTTAGTGAGATTTTTGACCAGTGGAAAAGGAGTTTGAGCCAGCAGCTCTTCAGAGAGAAATGAGCCGCAGAAACAGCAGTTAGATATTTCATACCACAGTGCAGCACTTTGCGAACATCCACAAACATCAATACATGTGTATGTAATGTGCATTTCCAAGAAAGTACTTACTGAGCCAACAGTCAATGTTTTTTTAATTGGCTTCATTTTGCTGCATCAATATTATTTGCAGTATCTGTCGGATCTCAAACAATAAACTGAATTAATACATATCCATCAATACAACACAGCCAGAGAGTAACGTCCACCACCTCACATCAAGAAATGCAGTATTCCTCTTCAGATAAAAATGATTGCTTAAGCTGAAAAAGATCAAATAAATCTTACTCACAACCGGCCAAAACTATGTTTTTACAAAGCCAGCAGCTGAACAGTCGAGGTCCCTGCACGCCAAACTCATGTTATTGCAGATTTAATCGCTTGTCAAGCGAATACAGCAGGAGAGCCCGTTTTTCCCTCCTGTATTTTACACACCTGCTTTAAACCACATAGAGTATTTTCCTCTTGACAGTTTTGTCACACTTCACAATTTTTAATTTCACCGTTCAGTGAACAGTATGAGGTAGATTCTGCACTCCGTCGTCCTTTTCTGGACCGACCCATTTATCAGTCCTCCCTTGTAATAAGACGCTGACCCAGTCCTAATCAGCTGTCGCCCCAGTGGTTTGAAATGTTTGGTCATGTAATTTATTCGAAGCTCTCTGCCACTGAACTGATACCTTCTTTCTTTTTAGTTTATTGGTTTTATTTAAAATACACATCATTTGCTATATCTTTGTTCTTAAAAACAAAAAAACACAAACACAGCTTATTTTTTAAGCATTTGTACAGTTTTTCCTTCCTTGTAAGAGTGAACTGTTTGAAAGGTTGGAACTTTAAACTGTCTCTCCTGTTATATCTTGACAAAGTGAGAAAATCAGGTACATGTGCTCCTCGATGGGATGAGGAATGAACACACAGGTGTGAGACGAGTAGGGAAGCCAATGAATGAACCACCAGACTTAAAGTAAAGGTTGAATTCAGCCGGTGTATCAGTGTGGATCTTGGTCTTAAAATGCAGGAATTATCAATGGCATCATTTATACATTGATTGGCAACGTTTTATTGTGAAAATAACATCCTACACAATTTCTGTGTTTTATTATGTCGATATCTTTTTAGTTGTTTTGGCAGTGCTATTTATGTTGGCAGTTGAAATAGGTATATTAATGTAATAAAAAAGACTTTTCAAATGTCAAATAGTTTTCATCTTGTGCTCATAATTTAGGCTTTGGCCATGTTACGCATAAAAAAAACATGACAACTGCTGTTTCTTACAGCCATAGTCAGCATGAAAAACTGCAAAACATGGGATTGAGAAAGTCTGTCTGAAATACTATTATATTAACTCACAGTGAAATAAGGCAACGGAGAATTGGATTTGTAATATTGCTGCCATGTGAAAGCAAATCAACCCTGTTTGGAAAAGGTTGATGAGCTGACAATTACACAGTAAGACAGCAGTTTAGTCTTCCATCCACACTGAAATGCAGTCCATGTGTGCATGTTTTATCAGTCCAGGTGGAAGTTGTCAACATGCTAAGTAGAGGAGAACTTAAACGTCCTCCCTAGCCATCTCCTTTTAGGGATTCCTTAAGGGAAATCACTTTGTCCTGATCCTTTTTTTGTGTCCAACAGTATAAACAGCTCAGTGACTGAAGTGTGGTAAATGTTATTAACCTAATTCATCATCCAAACAACCATCTCAGACGAACAGGAAATGTGATGAGGCACGCCAAGAGAAGGAGACCATGGTGATGAAATATGTGCGGGGGGAGAAAGAGGCCCTCGACCTGAGACGGGATAAGGAGGGTTTGGAGAAGAGACTAAGGGAGGCCACCAAGGAGGTAGATCGCCAGGCGCTCCGGGGAAATCAGCTGGCTCAGGAGAAAGGCCGGCTGCAGCAGCTGTATGATGCTAAGGTAAGTGTCAAAGTTTCAAGACTTATTTTAAAAACTGCTTACAATAAGACATAAAGACTCAGTTACCGCTCAGCCTACCCAGGTTTTATGAGCATTTAGCTTGAAAGTCAACATCTGACAAAAATCGAAAATTTCTTACAAACAGTACTTTGTATGACCCTCTTAGGGCGTGTAAACAAATATTTATTTAATAAGTGTCTCAGCGCAGCCAAAAATCTGTTGGCTGTCCTGCATTGTACCTGCTTCACCCATCTGCCTCTGTCTTTTCAGGAAGGAGAGGTCAGCAGGGTGACTCGAGAGGTGGAAAAGTTGAAGGAGGAGATCAACTCACATCTTATTAAGGTCAAATGGGCCCAGAACAAATTAAAGAGTGAGGCGGATGCACACAAGGTAAAGGAACAGTGTCAGTTTTGAACTTATTTTGCGTCAAAACATGTTAATTATCAAGTAACCATGATCAGGTACATTTACCATATTATGGCACATAACAATAAAAAACCTAAATATATACATTTATGTTTTATGAATAAACATAGGAGAACATGAAATTTGTGATCTGCTATCAACACAGACAAGAGAGCACTGTATTTACCTTGGATGCAATTGAACACGTGAACATGCTGCATTCAAATTTTAATCAAATGGCTAAATCTAGCCATTTACATTGCGAATGTGATATTTGGCCTAATAAAGTCGCTGCAGCTCTAGTTTACAGTGCATATACACAACATTTCCATTTGTAACGACCCAGTAAATTTTCTGCTTTGTGTCTATGTTCTTCATCTACCGAGCCTATTGTTTGTCAGGCAAGTAACTGCCAACCGTTTCCACGATACAAATGACATCCCCCTCAGTCATTTTATCTTCAGCCGCCTCATAAAAATACATGATTAGATGTCTTTTTTTATTCAGGAGTGAAATGAAATGAGGTGAAAATGGTACAGTAATGACCCTGCAAGAAAATCATCATTAACACCGGAGCTATTTTTGAAAATGTCTATTATAACATAATGGTTTTATTTTTAACTGCCCCAAAGCAAATACACAACTATAAACAGTGGGGTAAAAAGCAAAAACGGAGTAGAGGCTCGAGGCCACGGGAGCTGAGCCCCTAATGTTTCTCTTTGTGGTTGTTTGGATGGTGGATGTGTGTATAAATCATTGTGTCTGTACATGTGTGGATACATCTGATTGAGAAGAACAGTATCTTTCACCAACCGGCTTTATACAGCACAGGCTTTGAAATGAAGTGAGTGTTATAATTACGAAAGCATGCTTATGTCCACCTATGTGCAGGAAACTAAAGACAAACTAAGAGAGACCACGTCCAAATTGGCCCAGGCCAAAGAGGAGACCGAACAGATCCGCAAGAACTGCCAGGACATGATCCGAACCTACCAGGTGTGTGATATTTATGACACACAAGTATTAAGTTTGATTCTGAGGAAGGAGCAAGGCAAACAAAAAGTGATCTGTGGCCCCAGGATCAAGATGCAAGTCAGGGTTTTTATGTCTATTGATGTGACGGCAATATGAATAAATCTGGGCTGCGATCAATTATACTACTTCCAAATTATCAAACAAGTGATAAAAGTAATGAACATGTATCAGTTACACAAAAAAATTCAGCTGTATCTGCTTTCACATACAGGGACTGGATTTTTAAGAAAGAATTTGAACAGATTCTGTTAATTGTGAAATTCAGAACTTTAAACAGGACTGATCCTGTTTCAGGAGAATGGCAGTTTTCATTTGTACCTTGTGATGGTAGTAAAGAGCTGCCTAACTTTTCTCTCTGGGGTCGGGATGCTTGTACAAACAGCATATAAGTCAACATCACATCAAAATAACCAACATGGCATAAAGTTCCCAAAAATTGTATGACTGAATTTTCGTTATCCATTATTTTATTACCTGCATATTTAAAAAGGAAGCTATGCTGTATTTTAATGTAGCTAATGAGACCAGGAAAAAGTTGAATATAACCGAAACCAGCTAACTATGACACTGTTTCTCATTATAATCAATTGCTTACGCTCTCCGTTGTATCTCTTTTGCTGTTGTTTCAGTCAATGCATTCTCTCCATCCTTTTTTCTTCTTATGCATTTTCTTTTTCCCAGGAATCGGAAGAGCTCAAGTCCAACGAACTAGATGCTAAACTGAGAGAGACCAAGGGAGAGCTGGAGAAACACAGGCAGGAACAAACAGACCAATTAGAGGTGACAACCACTGTGCACACAAACAAACACTGTCTCACTCACGTACACACATTCATTCAACCACCCACTTCCTCGTGTGAGCTGAAGGCTATTTGCTTTTTATCAAGTCCACAATGTGAAGCTAAGCAACAATAATACAAATATTAGGAGTTTATATCCATGCTTTGTGTGAGTTTTGTTTCTATTAGTATTCATGCTCCGATACAGAAGAAGTAAAACAGTAACGCAGACTGGTTTTGAATTCAGAATTACATATACATTCTGTTCTTCCAGGCAATTATTCCGATTTTTATTTGTGGTGTTGATGCCAGGTCTTCTAGTAAAATCGTTTATTTTCAGCTGAGGTGTAATTGCCTTAACTAGGAATGAGTAACGAACTGACTCTGCAGGCACACACATGGACTCACTCCAAACACAATGACCTGTTTTTCTCTCTGCCTCGTTCTGAGGGGAAACTCACTTTAAAAATAAGTGGCCCAGAAATAATCAATACGATGCTGTGTATTTCAACAACAACCAAGAAGACATCAGGCTTTTGTCGCCATCTTTCCACAGTCGGATTTGTTTCTACAGGGAGCTTACAAATCCTGACAATGTCTTGATCTGAATTTCTTAGCGACACCATGCAAGGCTCTCGGTTCGAATTCCCGTTCGGTTGGGGTGTTTCCACATGAACTTTGCATGTTCTCCCCTTTTCTGTGAGGGTTTTCTCCGAGTACTCCGGCTTTGATTGGGGTTAGAAATCCAATCATCAAATCTAATTTATGTATAATCTTTGCCAGAAATTGACACTGTTATCAAAGAGATATTTCATGCCACTTTCTTGCACATCACTGATACCTTGAGCACTGTTGCCAATTTTTGCCAACAAATGCCAAAAATCAGGCTCCAATGATTGGAGCCTGATTTTTGGCATTTGTTGCTGGTCTGCTGATGAATTAACTGGTCCTTGTTTACTTTAGTATGTGTGTTGTGCTCAAGTGATGATGCAGCTCAGTCAAAAATAATGCAGGGTGAGTTTCCATTACTGTCGGGGTAGTCAACATTAAAATGGGAAGGGATGAATCGAGGAATTGGATGATGAATTTGCAGGCATCTTCTATTTCATTATATGTTGTCTTGGATACCGCAGGCTACTAATGGCTTCGTGGAAAAGTTGACTTGCCCCCGTAGCAGTTAATGGCTTCGTTTAAAAACATGACATGAAACATTATTCAGCTTTGCTTTCACATACTTAATGAGTGCGTATGCAAAATAACTTTAATGAATTCAACAGTTGGATTACAAGGAAAAGCATCTGCAGTAAAATGATGCAACTGTAAGATTTCAGAAAGTAATTTGTTCCATTAAGTGTGATGGAGGTTTAAGTTGATATACAAAACTATTGACTCTCTGTAAAATGTTTAATCGTGGATATAAATCTAACATATAATGTGATGCATAATGCAGGTACACAGAGTGAAGGCCAAAGAGCTGGATGACCTGAAGAGGAGTTACAAAGAGGGCATGGATGAGCTCACGACTTTACGCACCAAGGTTTGTCTCACAGATAAGTCCTTGAATACTTGTGTGTGCGTGCGTGCGTGCGTGAGATATCAACACATCTTCAGCTCAATATGTGGGTGTCGTTGTGTAGTTAAAGTGTTTAGAAGATGAGCGTCCGCGCTGGGAGGATGAACTGAGCAAGTACAGGGAGATCATCAACCGGCAGAAAGCGGAGATCGGCCGCCAGAAGGAGAAGATGGATGAGATTACTTCTCTCCAGGAGCAGCAACAACGGTACACACACTCTCACACTGATCATGTAGAAGCTCAAGCTTACACACACACACACACACACACACACACACACACACACNCACACACACACACACACAAACATACCCCCACACAGCAATAAATGAAATAGTACTCACTGATGAGCACAATCAATGCGCACCATAGGATAGTTCTGCATAACCAGCATCAGAGGGGAATCTAAATATCTTTTTAAGGCCCCTCCTCATAAGTAGAGTCCTTTCTCTCCCTTTACTGCAGATTATGGCTTTTTAACTTTTCCATGCATAGAAAACATATATAACACACAGAGGAAACTGATTTTATGCTTTATTTTCTGTGGCAACAAGTGACACTTGTAATTTCCCTTGAAGCAAGTGTGCTACATTTGCTAAGTGCAGCTTTAGCTTGCTGTGAATCTATGCAAGTATAAATAAAACTCACACACTGTAATCTGATAACCAGATGCCCATGAGATATTTGTTTAACATTTCCATTATTCATTACGCTCCAGTGATGAATCTCAACATCTTGTGGTTTCCACGGCAATGAAATCCTAGTCCAGACGTGTTCAGCAAGCTGCAGGCCCGAGCACCAGGTGTACAAGTTGCCGATCCAGAAATATGACACTCAAGCTAGTCAGGCTATAACACATGAGAACACTGCACTGACACATGCTTATTGTTGTGTTGGTAACTAAATGCAAAAGCAAAAATGAATACCTTTTTTATTTAGTCCCAGTAACGTCAGTTCATTTTGGGACAGATGAGAGGAATTAATCATGGTCCTCTCAGATGACAAAATTATCTGCTTACATCAGCGACAAATTAAAATGTGGAAATATACACAGTGGGATCCTGTGGCTGAACTGCAAAACAAAACTTGCACAGGCAGTAATACAAAATGTGATTTAGACTACAAATAAAACCATAACGATCACTCATACTAATTCAGTGACATGAACTAACTTTTTCAAGCATTTTAGTCTTGACAAGATCATTCCTCATTCATCATATGGTTATACAGATGGATGTTACCTCCCTGGCGAGTTTCAATCCTTGACTTGTATATCAACATTCAGTCATTGCTAGTTATGACAGAACAGTGCAGGTTGTTATATGGTGCTTGTCCCTTTTTTAAAGATAGGCCAGAGTTGGATTTAGCACACAGGACAGTGAGGGACTCGGGTCTCTGTGGGTTTGTGGCTGTGCTGTCCATGAGCATGTGACTTGATAGAGAAACCTTTCCACTTATTGAAATGCTGCTTTCTGTGCGTGCCAGTGTGCCATAAGTAGGCGGCACCGACCCAAATTGATTTGTGCAGAAGCTTCTCTACTTTTTTTGGCTGTAAATCTGACAAGCAGGGATTTTTTTTTTCACCACAAGCACCAACATTTGTTGTTGTTGGCAAGAAAAGAAAATAAGTTGGTTGCAAAAACTTCTTTGGTCTATCGACAACTTCAGTACCAGTGACTCTGGCTCATTTTTCTCCACTTCAGTGATCTTAATGAATGCAGATACAAAAAAATGGCTAAATAGATTAGTTACGCATAATTAAAAGGATAGCAAACTGTTGAGTATTTATTTCCTTAGATAAATAGTACAAAAACTATGTATCCTCAAATGATTGTATCTTTGTGTCAACAATATGACGATAAACATTTTATTAGGTATTACTTACTGTTTGTCATCTAATTCTCATGTATAATTGCCAATAAATGCCTGGAACTTACAGGGAAATTTGTTGTTTTTGTCCATCGGTGACTTTCTTAACATCTGGTACATTTTTTGCACACAGAGACAAACAGGAGATCACGTCTCTGCATGAAGAGGTGGACAGCCTCACCAACCAGATGACTGACCTTCAGCGTGATGTGCAAGGCAGCAGGGAGCGCGAGGCGGAGTTACTGGGCTTCACAGAGAAACTGAGCAGCAAGAACGCCCAACTCCAGTCAGAGAGCAACGCACTGCAGTCTCAGCTGGACCAGCTGACCAGCAGCTTCACAGAGCTCCAAGCACAGCTGGAGGAGACCAAAAGGCTGCTCGATGACAAGGTCTGGGAACTTTGAGTGCACAGGGTGATAGATTGATGTAGAATTAATGTATGAATGAAGCTCAGCTGATTAACAGATCAATACAATTCACCAAAATCCTGCATGAATCCTTAACTGAAAACTGCCGTGAAGTTACAGTGATCTCATTAAAAAATGTGCGTTGTCTGTCCTAGAGCGCACAGTGTCCATGTGATATAGTGATATTTCCTGGCTTGGCGTTCAGGATAAAAGAATGTATGCTGTCATTTCTTCACTTAAATCTCGTTTATGTATTCATCGTGCAGTCGCGACAGCTGAAACAGGAGGAGGTGCTGCGGCAGCAGGAGGTGCAGGGTCTGCAGGAGGAGCGGACAGCACTGCAGACAGAGGTGTCCCGGCTAAAAACCAGAGTCGAAGAGCTGAGAGACGAGCTGGTGACACAGAAGAGGAAACAAGCTGCCAACATAAAGGACCTGACAAAACAACTGACACAAGGTCAGGAAGTCATCAGGGTCACATGTGTCAAACTCTTTTTTAACAGAAAAGACCAAACCCTGTAGCAGAGTTACTACAAGTTGGATTTAATTTAAAATTGCATGTAAGAAACAGGGTTGTCATTACCATTATATCTTCTTTCACTTTACTCTGACATTTATCTTGAGTACAGGACGGTTTGCCTGAGAGACTGCAGGATTTTAAAGTCAGGTCACATGCAGATTGAGAGGAGAAAGTGTAATGTGATCAAGAAACAAGGGAGATGGGAATGTACAGATAAGAAGCTAATATTCCCCTGATGTAAGGATTATCTTTTGTAGATGGAGCCACCTTTCTCTTCTTTGCTCTCTGGGCACACACAGTAACCTTAAAGCATCAGCACCATTATCTTGTATGCACAAGATTTTCCCTTTTAGTTGGAATGGGTGAAAAGTTTCCTTAGAGGAGCCTGTTGTCATTCATCAGTGTTGCAATTATACTTCATGTCTACAGTACAGTCATTCTCAAGCCTTTTTTTAATGCATGAAAGGTTTGCTGAGCAGGCACTCCTCTTCAAAATCAACCTGCATTACATTTATTCAGGTAGATGCCTCCAGACTCAAGCAGTGATGCTTAGCTGTGACTTTCACTGTCTGCCACCAGTAATTTGTTTGAAGAATGTCACACGTAGTTAATTTTCGCTCGACCGTGGAACATTTTCAAAGTCATAATCCCAAGTGGGTCTCGGCTGTCAGTCACAGCTCGTGTTGAAGCTTGAGTTTAAGTTACAACAGAAAATGTATCTGCTTCCATAATCAATGTACTTTTTATAAGGAGATGGTACTAAAGGAAGTGTAACTTGATGAATTCAGCAAATCATTTTTTTATATTCAATAGTTAGTTTAATAGTTAGGTAAAGTCTCGTTTTGACCCAACTTTTCATTATTTTCTTCTACAGCCCGTAAAAGACTGGAGCACATCGAGAATGGAGGCTGCGACAGGGATGCCAGCAGTATGGGCAGTCGCTCTAGTTCCTCAGGTACTGCTCCTGGATTTGGTTAGTATTTAACACAGACAGTAGTATTACCATTTAAGGTTTTGTTTTTCAATAACGGTGGTGGGATAGATCACCCTCTGAAGAAGGTTTTTTTTATTTACATAATTCATGATGACAAAGGGAAATGGTAATATTTATATTTCTTCTTTAGTTTATGGAAAGTTCACATACTTTACAGCGAGTCGTCACATAACCTACAAGTTTTTAACTCATGTGGCCATCCCCTCCCGTCCCCAGGCTCTTTGAATGCACGTCACGGTGGGAGCGGTGGCGTCGAAGAGCGGTCGCCAGAGAGCCAGTCGGGTCCTTCAGTTGTGGTCGTGGACAGCTTCCCAGAGGTGGACAAGGCTGTGCTTGTGGAGCGCATTGTCCGTCTACAGAAATCACTTGCTCGCAAGCAGGAAAAAATTGAGTTCATGGAAGATCACATCAAGCAACTGGTGGAAGAGATCCGCAAAAAGACCAAGTGAGTGGCACGGGCCAAAGTAAAGGGAGCAGGGAGAGATGTTTGATGATAGAATGCATTGTGCTCAGATTTGTCTGGTGCTGTGGATCATGGGATATCTCAAACAAACCTTGTGGATAATTTAACTTTGGAAATTTTCAACACACACATTGCAAATGCTCAACGATCTCACAAACCTGGCACAGTGTCAGACCCTACAGCAGTTTTAAAGTAACAGCCTCGTAGTCTTAATGCAGTTTTACTAAAGCTTGTCAGCATATCAGCACTCGTGTAATCGCTACAGAAGGAAAAAGCCACAACCGGCAGATGTTAAACAATAAAAGTGGCGTCAGGAAAATAATAAAAAAAGCTGCTTACGTATGAGAGAAATCTCTGAGGAGCTGCTCGTTCCTTACTCTTAGAAAGTTCTACTAAATGGTTTATATACAGGTACCCTCAAACATCCTGTGAGTTCTTGTACTCTCACAGATTGTGTCACCTTCAAGAAAACACCTCATGTGATAACATCAGTATTTCTTCTTGGCTGCTCATGGTGTACAGCTATTAGCACCAGAATCTAGAACTGCCTATTGCGGATACTTTAAGGTAATATTTTTGTCAGCACATATTCGGTCACACTGCACCTCCGCTCCTGACCTTGAAAGACAGTTTATGCTGAAAAACACAATTTAAGGCTCCCACCCACTTCTTTGCGTCTCTCTCTCTCTGTCCTCTCTAAATTCCAACACCTGCAAACATTGCACTTCTGATTTCTACAAACTTCACTCAGAGCTATTTATAGTCAAGTCGATGTGGGGGGGGGGCAATGCCTCAGTATGGATCTTAAACAATGTTACATCCATATTCATCACATCAACTAAAGAGGCGGTGTGAAGGACGTTTGGTGTATCTTAATCACACCACTTCATGTGCGGGTTTAGAAGTGGATTGTTCATCCCTATGCTGGGATGAGGTGAGTTATGGAGATAAAACTACCTCATTGAGCTGAAGGGATTAAAGACATTCCTCTCCAATGAATGAAATCTTATTCATTGATTAGTCCAGATCACTCCCTACAGTTGGTTCAAGTTTTGCATCTCAGTGGATCTTGTAACCGAATGATATCGACAACGCTCCAATCACTTCTCTCCCTCTTCTCAATTATTTCCCAGCTGCAAACCTCGATTTAGCCTCAACCTACATTGAAGAGTTAAAATTGAGGACGAATCCCACGGTTGCCAGTTTATAATTAGCTCTGTAAAATCTCAGCTAAGCGGGGGTGTTGCTCTTCGCTGAATGCAGACGTGAGATGTGAATTTGTCCTTTTTGCCTTTCTGTCCCTATCCCTCCAGGACAGCCTGGTGAACACTGGCCAGCTAAAGCTACCTGTAAGCCTGAAGCATGTGAGGAATAAGGAGGCAGAGTTATGGAAGCAGAGGCGTAGTGGGACAGATAGTGGAAGAAAATAATTAGGTTGATTTTTGATTTGCATTTCATCCATACCACACTTGTGTGACGACTGTGTTATGCATCCGTTTGCTTACTGACTGATAAGGATTGCATCAGTTTACAACCACTTTAATACATTGTGGAGTATGAGTGTGCAGGGGATCTGTGACGGGTGCTGTTGGTTCTGGAAGTAAAACTCAGTTCATTTTCCCAATCAGTGAATTATCTATGTAAAAAAAAAGGGGGGGGGGGGGACATTTGTCTGAATCTGTTCCACAACTGAACGGATCCAGATTTTGTGGAAATCAATTCAGTGATTTTTGTGAAATCAGATTCTGTAATACAATCTACAAAACAACACATAAACCAGGAGGAAAACATAACCTGCAGAGATGAAGTACTGTGAGAAAATATCTAGCTCTTTGAAGAATTGGTTAAGTTTCATTCAATTAAACCCGGGTCAGTCTTAGAGGAATATGTTTGGGCTTGTTCTCCATGGTAATGACGGCAGAGGCTCAGTGGTGTTTAGCGCAGTTGGCCACGTCAGACCGAGGGAAACAACGTGATTTTTCTTAAAACAAAATATTTAAAACTTACATCACACGAGAATCTGGTTTCTGTGTTTAGTGACACCGAGGACATCATTGAGTGAAAATGTTTTAATCCATATTCAATTTGGAAATATGAGGAAAAATACTTCCAGATCCAGCAGCTTCTTACAGTTTTATCATTTTATCACCTTATTCATTTTCTACTTTTTTCACCTGTCAGACAGTTATTTACTTATCTTCAAAATTCACTAGACCTGCACAGTATATATGTTTTCAAAGTGACAGGTTCATGCGCTGCTAGGAAGTCAACACGCTTCATTGGCTTCATACAGAAATTACGATTTCTAGTAAATAACCTAAAGAAAAAAATGCCGCAGCATCAAGGGCAATGGTGTCTGTCCTTCAACACCAACACCTGCATATTTTGACCATTAAGTCTAAATGATCCAATCCTGTGACTTGAATTGAAATGACGCTGATGCAAAGCAGATGCGAACAAAGCAGGACCAGTCGTTCTGCTCAAGTGTAGATGGCCATTTATCTGGCGAGGGTCCATCATCACTCTGCTCAGGTTAAAATAAAGGTAACTAACTGCAAATCAAAGCCGTTTAAAATCTAGTGCAGACTGCTGAGGATCCACACCTGCTGTTAAAATATAATGATGGATCCTTTCAAGGTTGTTCCACTGCCACACTGTTCATAAGTAGCTACATTCATTGAGCACGTGCAGTTGTACATGTTCTGGCAAAATATGATACGAATAATTACCTTTTAAACAAATGGCTTAAGCCTGTGTAGCTCTGAATGCAATTAAGATCAAAATAGCTTGCATGATTGTGTTAGACTGATTTCCTCACACCACAGAGCATTTTCTCTGAAGCTTCTCTTCCTGTCTTGCCACTTTTTGGGCCCAAGATTTAAGAACCAGTCTCTGTAGTATGGTCTGACACAACATGTCCAAGAGCTGCGCTCAATTGCCATCTTCACTTCATGCATGCTTGACCTGCTGCCCTCACAGCTGTGGGGAACAGGACACGTCACTCACAAATGCTCCCCTGCACCCCTGCCTACCTGTGCATGCCATTCAGCACAACATGTGGCCACATCCTTTTGATTTCTGTCACTTTTTTGTTTTTACTAAACACTGTCGCGATGGAGCTGGGGTCCAAAAACGGACCCTTGCAAGTCTAGTCAGAGGTAAGTCTCATTTTATGTGTGTGCAAACCCAGGTGTTTGTGTGCGTGTGAATGAGAATGAGCTTATGTCAGTTGATTCGTTGTTGTGCTTCCATGGCTTTTCTTTTTTTATTGCACCATAGGCTTCTTTGCTTTTTTAAATTTAGAATGCATTCATTGCACCATACACTTTCAGGTTTATGTGTTGTGTTGACTTCTGTGAAAGACAGAAAGGAGCAAATAAGAAAAGTGGAGTAAATACTAAAAATGCATGTTAAAAAAATGTGTTCATGTCAACGGACAGGGGTGAAATCATTACCCTCCTGGTTAAGGTTATGATGATAACTGCATTTTAAGGAGGCGTTCCAGGTTGCTTCATGCTAAGTAATATTCCAACACAACTTACATGCTTATCTTGCTATTTTCTATTATTACCTTCTGAAATGTCTTTAACAGATCAGTCATCAACATGTTTTCAACCCTTCCAAGATATTTTACAATCATGTTCACTTATAGGATTAGTTAAATAGCAGGTTCCTTATATACTAGTCACTTGGTCGCCAACGATAACGACTGCTCTGTGGGAATTTATTTGTGCTTAACATTTAAAGTGACAACCTGAAGTCAGTGTGACTCTCTAGATTGGATCCATAAAGTTATTGATCAGAATAATGTGTATTTACTCTGAGCAGTACTATTTGCTACATATGAAGAATCAAGCCATCAATGCACAGAAAGGGGATATTTTAAAGGATGTAGTACTCTACCATTCATTTTCATTTTGTTGTAGTAGTGACTGCAGTAGTAGAAGTAGTAGTAGAAGTTGTGCTAGTGTTTTCAGTTGTAGCTTTTCACCTCCTTTGAATCTTTCCTCAACTTATTCTCTTGAGAATCTTTCAGCTTTACAAGTCCGGCTGTCGTCTGCATCTGTTTAGAAATACAGATTTTCACTGAGTGGGAATCTTTTTTGCAGAATCTTACTTAACGGTCACGAACGTCCCTCTGCTCGGAGCTCTCTGTGCAGTTACACTCATTTAAAAGAAATATATAAATAAACCTGCAAACACAACCTCAATTTGAACTAAACAATGCCGATAGGGGGCTGAGTGTTGTTGCCGTTTCAGGTTAGTGCTTCAGGTACATGGCTGGGTTGCCAACAGGTTTAAAATATTGATCCTTTGAGATTGTTGACCTTTTAGGAAGGACAGTGCACAGCAACCTTTTACCTGCACACACACTACACAGCTGAAGAGAAAATTAAGAACAAGTATTTGCTGAAGCTTTTTTGTTCCAGTCCTCAACCATGTTTCAAAAATAATCATATACATGTATTGAACGAGGGAACGAAGCTTTTGTCAAAATACAAAAACCTACCGAGGTAATAAAACCACTGAGTGTGCTGCTACAGATGTGAAAAGAACATAAGCTATGTAGAAAAAAATATATATCCACAATGAGCCTTGGCAGTTAGCTAAAAAAAAATTATAAAAAGATAGCGTAATCCTCCTTATATACAATCAAAATATTAAAAATATATGTTATATTCAACAAGATATACAAATGTATTTATTACATACAATCAAAATCTGGTTGCAAAAAAGTGAACACTAGTGGCGATAGTAATTTTTGTAAAAATTAAAAAATAATTAAAAATTCTTAAATTGAGTAAAAAAATTGAAATTTTTATCAATTTGATTACAGTCGATGTATTCACACGACTGATTTGATTGTATTAGAATTCTGAGAGTAGATTCAAAAGCCACAGTTTTCATTTTCTTCTCCTACTCTGGCTGGTACAGAAATAATCTTTCTTGCTATGACTGGGTGTATTCCATTTACACAAGTTCCATAAGGCACCCAAGTAGATTTACTATTCCAGTAGTGTTCACTGCTTTTGCTGCCGGAAACGATTTTATTGCTCTGTAGGAGCTCTCCATGCTCCCACCTATGAATCCCACTTTCTCAATTTTCTTTGCTTAGCAGTCTCAGGCTGATGCCATGCACCCATTCCATTTCTTCTCCATTTTTTTTTTCTCAAAGAACGTGGTTTGACTCGTTTCCTCTCCTTCATTCCCACAGAATTATCCAGAGCTATGTGCTAAGAGAGGAGTCAGGGGCCCTGTCATCAGAGGCCTCAGATATTAACAAGGCCCACCTGAGCCGGAGGGGAGGAATTATGGCTTCGCTTTACACCTCCCACCCTGCGGACAGCGGGCTGACCCTGGATCTGTCGCTGGAGATCAACAGAAAGCTGCAGGCCGTGTTGGAGGACACACTGCTGAAGAACATTACTCTGAAGGTAAGCTCTCCCCCAGCAGGGATCATTCCCTCCCCCCACAAGTATTAAACTCGTCCACACACATGGACGATACCGAGGATACTGAGGGTGTGTGCAGCTCCTTGCATCGCATCTTAATTTGCAGTGAGTGTGTCGTTGAAGCTTCGATGACATGAGTGGATAATTAATTGGATGGATGTGGCAGAGTCATGCTCCACCTCTGGAGTCACTCAGCCTGATGTGACTTGACTGTCTAAGTGTGCAGGCGCTGCCGGCACCATAACAACGCACGCTCTATGAAATCTAGATACAGACCTAGAAAAGCACTCAGTAGCGTTCATACCTCCGTCAAAGCCCAACAGTCCCCGTTTGAAACCACATTTAAATTCACCAGATCCAGATTTTTATTTGGATCCGTAACAAAAATGTTGAAAAATCTAGTAACGTTTTCGAAAGAGGCACCACAATTTCCTCCTTCCCTGGTAATTGCGGACTCTTTCTTTCATACAAACAAACGGACAGGAGTGAAAACGTAACCTCCATGGTGGAAGTAAAAAGGTTTCGTGAGTTTGATATGTTACGATCACAATGGGCCTCTCATTTTCCCTTTCGTTCAGTCTATATGCTCTCATTGTATAAGTTTTGTTAATGACTATAAAGGTGTTTAAAATCTTTTCTACCTTCACATATTTTGTTCCAGAGTTTCCATCAGGATTGTCCGATCAATACCTTTTCAATAAAGATATGATTTCAATCAGGCTTTCCATGCATGTATGTGAAAAATGCTATTTAACCATGTTTTAAGTGTCCCCAGCTTATGCTTTCATAATAATAGTGATGTTTTTGCAGTCAGGTTTTTCACATCCTGAATCTTAAGTCCTCACACCTCCATCAACCCAGGAGACGAAGAGATCCCTGGATGCTTCTGGAGCACTTAAGCACCAGACTGTGAATCGTTAATGAGGAAAACTGATTAAAAGCCTCTTTTAGTTTCTTCACCCTGAACGTTGATGTTGTTTTCACATCACAGTCAACACACTGAGCCTTTATGCAGAATCAGGTGCTAATCGTTCTAACCCATATGGATTTTTGTTGGCCAATGTCAATAATGATATTACGCCTTGAAAACTTCCGATACTGTTATATCAGCCGATTATATACATTAAAAAAATGTTGGCACTGTCAAGAGTAACCCTAACTCTCATCAATGTTTAGTAAAGTGGGGAAAACACACAACATGAAGATGATACCAAGCTAGGAAATAAAAAATATTTATAAAAATATACCCACAAATATTGTTACCGCCTCCTTAATATACGTCTCTTCCTCCCTGTGTGCACTTGTGTTTATGTAGGCAGTTAGATGCTTTAAAAAATATTTTCATGTTTTATACTGTCAGACTCGTCTTGGTCGGCCTACGTGAAATCCTAAATGAGACGATGAATGTGGGCGTATTTTCTGGCAGCGACGTTTCTTTTCCGATGGATGAAAGATGAATGACAGGCCGTCTGAAGTAATGATTAAAAAACTACCTCAACTAAAAAGTGACAATAAAACAAAACAGTGACGGAGCCAAATTAAAGCTTCACATTCACAGAGATGGAGAATGTGATGATGATTTTTAACCTGATAGGTAAATTTGATCGTCTTAATTTTGTATTTTTTTCTAGTAATGACTATAATAGAATCACTTTCCTTACTCTTACTATTAAAACAACAAATATCATTCACCCTTTAAGTACCTTCTTCTCTTTCCTTACAGAGATAAAAGCAGCTCGTCAGCCCCACTCATTGTCACTTCAATGTCATGTTTGAGTCTAACAGTCTTGTCTCTCGTCTACAGGAGAATCTACAGACACTTGGTGCCGAGATCGAGAAGCTCATAAAACAGCAGCGAGATCCTGATGACGGAGTACGGAGGAAGTGACACGACCACGTCACGAGAAAAGAGAAAACAAACGACTACTCGAGGAATCTCCAACACACCATGTTTTTGAAGGGACAGCAACATTTGAGCATTTGAGACACACACACACTCGTTCCTGCAGCGTATGAAGGAGCAAACTGAATGTCGTGAAGTGCCAGTAGCACCTCAGGTTGCTTTTCGGAGAACCTCTGGTTTTTATTTTTTTTTTGTCCGTCTTGTGGAACATATCTGAACTTACTTGAATTCTTCCATCTACATGGTTCCACCTCCCATTTCCTCCTCCAACACAACAAATCTTCCTCTGGCTGTGGTCCCTCTCCCCTGAGCTGAGCCAAGATGAAACTATTCGGGCCAGCTCCAGCTCTGACTGCCTTTAAAATGAATCGACCCAAGATGCCATAGTCATGAATGTAAAACAAAGTCTAGCTGGGATGTAGTCGCAAAACATTAAACGCAGATCTGCCAGTGAATTTATCATAAAAACTAATTTGTTCCCAAATCCATTTCTCTCATCACAGCACATCACATTAAGCAACCTAACATGAGATGATCACCGGCCAGTATGCGCTCTTTACTTCTCTTCTGATGTCCATCTGCCAAAAAGCCAAATGTATTTATGAGAGGCTGCTTCTCCCGCTTCACTACGCAGCTAAAGAGGGGAAACGCATCACTCCTGACTCCTGGGAACCTTGTACGCCATCGTTTTTTCATCATTTTTTGCTCTGCACAGCACTTACGACCCAAGCTGGCGAGGCGAGGAGCCTCACGTCAGCGGACTCACTCGTGTGTGTGACACCGGTGCTAGATATAAAGAAGCAGACTCTATCTATTTGGTCAGTGTGAAGGAATCATACTCTTACGCAGGAATGGAGCATACACATCAGAGGCTGCAGTGGAAACACCGCTCAGTCACTTCGAATGGATCGACGTTGTGCGTCGATGAACTGCATTGTGGATCAATCGCAGTAGTTGACAAGAGTTTTTGTATATAAAGATGGACGACATGTCTTCATCCTTCCACTATGCAGAAATGAAGCTGAAATACTTGTTTCATCTTGTTTTCATGGCATCAAATAACTAATTAAAACCAAACTCACTGAAAGAAATCAACACTTGAGCATAAATCTGTGTCAGAAGAACTAAACTAAATTGACAGAAAAACGTATTTGACTTTTTACTTTGCAGTTTGGTCCCCGTCCCGTACATTAACCTGGAGGAGGCAAGAATTTGACCTACAGTGTTGTTTGATATTTGGGGAGCTGGCATGTCATCAATCTTTATATACAGACTTTGGTCCCAAGCATGTAACTGTAGTTGTTGTTGTGTCGGGCACGCCCGCCGTAAAACCATTCACTCAACACACACGTTTGAGTCCTGCATTGAAATTGTGTACAATTTGAAGATTATCTGACAAATGTAAAATCATGCCAAGGTTGAAGTTTGGCCATTTTGAATGTGATTTATTTTTCTAATTTATTTCCAGTTTATTTACCATCGAATGAAATGTTATTTCCAGGTGTCTGATTGGTTTTCAGTTTTACTTTTTTAAATCATCAACTCAAATAACTTATTTTTTCACTTTAATCCAATCTGATAAAATATTCCTGTCGCAGGCGTCATTAGTGTCAACTCATATTTTTTTCTGCAGCATGTGCAGAATATGATCTAGTGGGGAAGCGAAAAAAGTTATGATATTCCTTTCGGTCGCCCCTGTTTTTCTTTTTCTTTCCAGTGTCACTGAGTGCGTTGTAGTAAATCAAGTGGAGAAGAAACGGGGAGAACACGGGAACTCAAGCTGTAGCTCAGGAACGTTTATGGAACCTATAGAAATGTAACCAGGGACAAAGTGCAATGCTGTTCCTTTCATTGATTCCTTTCTTTTCAGTTCTGAATGTGTTGGTGTGGCAGTTCACTGTGTGTGCGTCTGTTGCTTGTGTATTTGCTACATGCGTCTGTGCTGGTGTTTGAATGTTTAAGTGTCAAAACTGTGGGTGTGTGTTCACACCTTGTGTGCACGTCTCAGCTCTCAGGCCTTGTAGGCTTGCACCACACCGTCCGTGAGGTTTGTTCCTTCCACAGGGGTAAACACACCTCACTAAATTTGTATTTGGGCCACACGAACGCTCCCCTGCAGCTCGGTAGCTCTATATTCAACAATTCTACTGTTACTGTGAAGTTTATCACACAAACGCAGAGCAGAAAAAAGGTGTGGGCCCGGCACCTTGCACCATCCGACGATGCTCAAGTTTCCCTGGTCTTGATTTGATCTTGTTGCAGAAGTTGTCACAAATGATGAGCCTCCTTCTCTTTTTCACCCCGATCAGAACGGAGGCTTTTACAGGCCGTGAATGCTTACAGGCCGATCCCCTTCACACAAACCCCGAGGCTATGTAGAAATGGCCCAGTATGTGAATAGAGATGAAAGTTTCCAGGATTGAGGTCACGGAGTCCTTAAAACCTCCCCGGTGCTGCAGTGGGTGCTCAGTGTTTGATGTGCATCTGCTTTTATTTCATCCTGACAGATTTTTCTCGGTATGTAAACGTACAGATGGCAAAACCCTGAGATAACATCTTGATTCTCCTTGATATTGACGCGTTGCAACCTTTGGCACTGTGAGAAAATCTAACACAGTGTCAGAGTTTTTGCGACTTTTATCACATCAGGTTTCTTTTTCTATTGTGTCATTTGATAACTATGAAAACAAACCCATCTAGATGTTAATGTGCATCTCTGACAGTGCGACCGAGCTGCTTGCTGCAGCGGCGGTGAGGATCACAGCAGTTTGTTTTTCTGTTTCTGGTGCAGAACCTATGCAAAACACTCGCATGGGATTTCTTAATTCTTTCCTCATAATTCTCTGAGGTACGCTAATGCGCTTCTCCTGCTTTAGTCTCTGTGTGACACCTGTGTTTCCCACAGCCTGGAAACAAAGCCGCGCTGCAGCATGAATACAACCTCGACTATGTGGAAATGAAGAGTGTGAGTGTCGAAATGTGACGTTAAATGAGAAGTTTGTCCTTTTTTTCCCTGTTTTCTTCTTCCTGTGCAATGATTCCTCTCTTCGCTCTTTTGTTTTGTGGAATATTCAAACTGTGATTATATACATTTGTAGATATGTCATTCTGTAAAATTATCAAGAGATCTTTTTAAAAACACTGATTCTGGATTATGTTTGTATATATATATGGTGTTTCCAGGGAATAAAAGGAGATAACTTGAATGTTCGGCATTGTTTTGCTGTTTTTTTTTCCCACCGTGAGGATAATGAGGTTGACGCTAACATCTGTTTTCCCTTGTTTCTGTTTTTCGGCTACAGTGGAATGAAGAGCGATTCAGGTAATGGGGCGATTTTTCAGAGTTATTAACCTCTCACACAGTGACTGTTTTTGTGAGACGCCCTTAAAAAGCAGCCGTTTCAGCAGTGCTGGAGGTCACGCACGTAACTGCGCCACTGTCACTCAACCAGGCAACATCTCCGATGATTTAGAGGCGGCGTTATGGGAATACTGCTTAAGTCCAAAGCAGAAGAACTTCCCTCTGCAACCTGTCATTCTAGTGTCACTGAAGACACCGCTCTTACACGAGTAACCTAGTTTATTAAGAGCACTGGAGTTCCATAAAATATATAAATAGAAAAGAGGAAACGTTCACATCAGGGCTGTGAATAACCATGATTTTATTTTTAGTGGCCAGAGACAGGAAGTTTCTCAGTTTGTTCCCTTCTCCGTCCCATTCTTGTGGACAAGAATTTCTACAGATTCAAGGATGAACAGATAAGAGTTTGGTGGTCGTGGTGTAAAGTTCACTTTGACCTTATTATTTTTGCCTCGTGAATGTGACATCTCAAGAACACCTCAAGGGAATCCGCGGTCAAAGGTCAAGGTTGTGGTTTCTGGCCTCGAGTCTGTCTTCAGGGGGTTGAATCTGATTAGTTGTCTCTTGGAGGTGAACTGATTAGATTTGGGTAGCGAAAGGTTTGTGGCAAGATCTCAGGAACAACTTCAGGGAATTTACTCAACTTTAGCGCAAATGTACTGGACTCCAAGATGAGCTGGTTAGATTTGGGTGGCCGAAGGTCAAAGGTCACAGTGACCTCACGTGAGCTGAAACTGCACTGGTTGGCTGAGGAGTACAACCACAGGGAGGCAATTCTAGGTCTATTAATAAGGCAAAAAGATTCTGTTTTGATACCACATAGAAGAGCAGCAAATCCTCACAAGGCTTGTTTCAGCTCCAGTTCACAAGGAGGATTTAGTGCGCTTACTGTGTCCTTTCTTCTGGATCCAGAGTAATAAAACTACAGTTTTTCTGAACAATCTCCCCATCGTCACCCTGTCATCCTGCACACATGCTTGAGCTTTCTCTATTATTCTTTCCCACGCACAAAAACCCCTACACTAACTGTCACCATATGAAAAAAAACTAGAAACATAAATTAGCAGAAAAAAATAAGACATCTTTTCCACTTGTACACTCTCGTCACGTAAGGGTGAATTTTCTCATTTTGTCTGCAGGCACAGCGGCACACAGCAGGTTCGCTGCACGTTCAAATATCCAATTCAGGCCAACGGTTACCGACAGACTATTTTTAGCTCTCTGATAGCGGATTCTCCTATCAGCCCAGATGACCACCCCTTGAATTCATAAAGCATCGCCTGTGTCCTTTAGATGCTGCGGTGAGCGTCACAGTAGCTCTCAAGGTGTAAAGATAACCAGCCTGTGCTGCCCTTGTCTATTTTTTGTTTACTATATTCCCTCCCTGACACAGGCGCCGCTACAGCTGCAGCATTAAGATAATAACACGTGAATATGAATGGCTCTCTGTAATGAGGATTATTACATTCCACTTCTTGTCCTTTAATTTCAGCTCAAGGTGATGCTGCTCTGTTTTAATTGAGAATATTCATGTGTCCATCTGGTTTAACCCATCAGACAAAATCTACCCTCTTATGTGTAGAATGAGTCAGAACTCTTCTTCCTCCTCCTCCTCCGTCCACTCATGGTTATTCAGATTTGGGACAAAAGAACACTCTGATGAAACAAAAACACGTACTGTGAGGCCACCGTGACCCCGACCACCCAAATTCAATCAGTTGAGGGTCTCACTGAACATTTGTGGCAGATTCAAAACGATCCTCTTGGGGTGGTTTTAAGAAATTGTGTTCACAATCCAAGTGAATGTTTGTGCCGATTTAATCAAATTGCCGGATGGTCATGATGTATCACATTCACAAAGCCATGAACTTGACCTTCAACCAGTAAAATCGAATAAGATCATCCCTGACTCCAAGTGAACATCTGTACCAAATTTTACTGGATTCTCTGGAGGTGTTCCTGAAATATCAAGTTCACAACATATGTTTTGTGAGGCCACAGTGGCTTTGAGCTTTGACCTTTGACCACCAAAATCTAATCAGCTCCTCATTGAGTCCAAGTAAATGCTTGTACCAAATTTGAGGGAAATCCCTCAAAGCGTTCTTGAGATATCGTGTTCGCAAGACTGGTACAGACGAGCGTACAACCCAACAACATAAAGCAGAAGTGCTCATTTTGTTCTCCATGTTTAAACCTGGCTGTTAATTAATTTATATTTATTTAAAGATCACATTCAGATATCATTTTTTTAAACTGTTAAGTAGATTATTATGTTTTAGGTTGAAATAAGTTAAATAATCCAATATTTCACTAAAGCCCCTCAGACACTGAACTCCAGACATTTCCTGAAATTTACCAAAGTGGCTGTTGTGAACGTGTCCGACCCAAACAATCTCCTGTTGTCTAATGTGAGAAGGACAAACTCCAGAAAATGTCTGAACATTTTTCTGGCGTTTGTGTCTCTGCACTTTATTGATGCTTGGTAGCGGCCCCAGATTTATACTGTGACCCACTGGACGAGGCCCGACCCAACGTTTGGTGACAGCGCTGGACTAAACAAGTCACAATAACATATCACTCACATTTCTGCAGAACAAGGACTTTTATTTTCAACTCTTCTAAATTAAGTTTGCAGAGAGGTCTTGTACTCACAGTGGAGAGTTATTAGAGTGTTGTGTTGATGGTTTTGCTCCAGTAAAATGTGTCTTTTCTCCACTTCTGCTCCGTCGACATGAAAGCGCTGCAGGAAGCTGAGGTTTTGGAGCTGAGGAGGACTCAGGAATCTGATGCACCACTGTGATGTTTTACTGCCGTGACACGGTGGCCTTTATGGTCAGGGATCAGCTGGCCGACTTGCCAAAGGGCAATTTTTCCTCTTTTTTTAGACTCGGGCCGGTTTCTCAGACGACTTTGAAGACTCCAACCGTAGAAATGTTATTGTGAAGGAGCGTTTATCCGTCCAGGACTGTTAACATGATTCTATAAAAGAAAGAAGCTTACAAAGGTTTAAGGGCTGCAAAAAAAATAAATAAAGTGAGCACTGAACATCTGTGTCTGAAAATACCTGCATGTGTGATGATGGTGGTCTGCAACCTGGCTGTAGAGTTAAAACTTCCCAGAGGCTTAGAGACGGAGCGGTTTGAATCCTGCCTCCGTCACCGCAGCTGCTTCTTGAAACATCTGCTGCTGGTGACTCAAAGAAATAGTACGACTCTGGCCGAGAGTTAGACGAGAAGATTGACATGATGAGGAGACGACGTGTACTTTGACTTTTTAGTTTGGTCCATGTCCCATCTGCTAAGACGATGGGATTTATGACCTGTACTACAGCCAGCCACCAGGGGGCGATCAAGATGATTTGGCTTCACCTTTGGGGAGCTGTCATGTCGTCCATCTATATTTACAGTCTGTGTGGCGGAGGTCAGCAACTCTCATCCATACCGAGAACATATAGTGGTGTTTATACATATGTACAACATGATGGTTCCCCAGAAGTGAAGCCGAATCGTCATGTCGCCCCCTGGTGGCTGGCAGATCATAAACCCTGCCTCCTCAATGTTAGTTGATGGGACACGGACCACACACGTCATGGTCAGACGCCGAATCATCAGCTTATCCGGATTAAAGTTTAGGATTTAGTTAAAGGTCAGGATCCATGAGGTTGGGATTTCTTCGGAGAGAAAATCGCTGCAGGATTTCGGAGCCACACAGCGTCGGTGATCAGACTGTGCCAACATGCGAAGAGACAAAGGATTAGTTTATCCACTGCATTTGTATCCAGGCACTGATCAACACTTAATTTCTAAACTCACTTGGAAGAAGAAGTTGTTTATTTCTCTTCCAGATTAATTTAACCCAAACTCTTAAATTTAGAAGTTTTCCCTGAACATCCGCCAGGGAGGTTTTGTTTTCGTGTGCGTTTGTTAGTGAACAGGAATTTGCAAAAACTACTAAACTGATTTTCATGTCATTCTAATGCCAGTGTGAATCAGGGATCCAAGATTTATTTTATCAACATTTCCATTGATTTCTCTAAGAATAATTCATCTGCCTTGATGAAAAAAAAAGTCTGGCGTGTTCAGGAGACTGATATTCATGAGCTCATTGGTGGAAAATAAAAATCTGGATGGAGTGAATTTATATTAGGTTTCATGATGGAACTGTTGGGCCTTGGCGGAGGTGTGGGCTCTACTGAAGGTCCTTCTATATTTTACACTAAAAGGAAAAATCTACCTCAGTCTGCAAATGTTTCTAAATTAATTATTGTCATCATGCATAAGCTACGTTCAGGTGCGACACCAGTGCAGCTACGTTACAAACTTTGAACACGCTGAACATGACAGCCCGCGCGGTATTGGCCAACGCAGCAGATGGAGACCTCAACCAGACCTCCGAGTTCACACGGGAATCCAAACAGATGGACACATGAAGTGTAGCACCTGCTTCTGGTGATGTAGACCTCACAGGGACACACAGCTTTTATTAACCGAACGGAAGTGGAGGTTTATGAACGTTTTGCCGCTGAGATGTTTCCGGAGATGTCCTGTTGCCTCGGATCTGCTCAACACAAAGGTCTTTCTGTTTATTCATTCAACCTGGAAAATTCCGATTTGTTTCTTCTGAGTGACTTTCTCTCAAACTGTTGAATGGATGAACTTACTAACAAGAATTTCTAAAGACTTTTAAGTATCTGGAGGTTTTGTAATCTGCACTTTTCTGCCTCCACAGCAGAAGTTTTTATCCGTTGGGGTCTGATAAGGTTGCAATCATTAGCAATCAGAAATAATTGTCTCCAGGTGCCGACATTTTTTTTTCCATCAGGAGCGACTGTTTTGTTTTTCTCGCTCGCAGACTGTAGCTCCCTCCCCTCGCACCCCCTCCCGGAGAACATTACAGTATTTGCATAGATTTTACAGTGTTTCATAAACATGCGTCTTCTGGATCTCGACTGGAATTAGCCGAATTACCCATCAATCCTTCTTCAAAGCCCAAAGTCCATCAGAGGACCTTGTTACGTTTCATGCATTGTGTTGATAACCAGTGCAGCTCGTCCACTTAAAAACATGAGTTTCACAGATGCACTTTGGAAAAGCGGAGATTCTAAAGAGTCAAAGCGACGTCCCGTGCTCTGAATGCTTTTGATTCTTCTTTAAAGATGATGATGTTTGCGCTGGTCTTTTAATCCTCTGCAGATGGCAGGAGGAGGCGGCTGGCAGCGACAGAATCGGTGACGTGGACGGGAGGAGGCGCACACCGTTAAATAACCGAATGAGGCCTCGCACCTGCTGCCTGAGAGGATCTGAAGTTTTCAGTGGAAGTAGTGGAAAGTGATTTTCTCCTGCTGTGAAAACACTGGTGAATGAATCTATTGGAGCATTAACATGTCGGAATATATGAATTTATATTTGAGGCGGGGATCGAGTTGCACCTGTTTTTTATAAATAGACGCCATATTACTTTGACCATATAAGAGCAGGTTTGATCAGAGTCGAACCGTTAAAGGTTTTTTTTATGTTGGTATGTATGTCACTTTCTTGTCGTGAGTTAGACAAAAGGATTTATACCACTTTCATGCATGTGTGATAAATAAGGACGCACCCTGGCAGTTGGTTAGCTTAGCTTAGCATAAAGGCTGGAAACAGAGGGAAATGGGCTACAGGAGCCAGGCTACAGCTGAGATTAGCTTCCAGATGTGAAAGTGGCTTCAATCTTTTCATTTAAAAATCCACTCAACAGATTTCCATGAAATTCTGTGGAGGCACGGAGCGAGACCCAACGAAGAACCTATTTAAATTTAGATGCAGATCCGGATAAGGGGGCGGACCCATTTTTTTCCCCCGCTTTATTAAACATCGCAAGAAAGGAGCGTTTTTAAACATAACCATTGATCCAGATAAAAATCTGCATCTAGTGAATTTAAATGTGGTTTCATTAGGAGACTGTTAGAGGTTTGAGTGTAGTTCAATGCCTGATATAAACCTTGGCCCGCAACAGTTATAGGAACATTCCCTAAGATTGATTGTCTTGGGAATATTCATATGTTTTGGATGTTTTGGATTACCATGTTTCAATATGTTCAGGAAATATAAAAACACAGGATTGATTAATAATTCACCAGGTCTTAAATCACTGACTGCAGAACATAAACCATGTGTTTACACAACAACAACTGTCAGCACCGAGGTCACGTTCATTTCATTTCTTCTACTTTGACGTGCAGCGGCTAAAACGTCGACAGATACACAATTTGAAACAATTATTCCTAAAGCTGCTGATTAGCTTCTCCATCTGTGAGTCCACTGCCGATCTGCCCAAACACAAACTTCCTGCCAAACACAAACAATGTCTAATAACGACGTGGGCGTCTGCCAGGAGGCCGAGAGTGATCCCGGCTGCTGCTGTTATTATTTTTATTATTATTATTTTGCATTCTAAAAGCTGGGGCTCATTTACACGCATTAATTCAGCCAATCACATCCAAACAATGTTCATTAGCAAAAACAGCCGAGCTCAGTTTTCATTCAGCTTTTTTTCTGCTCTGATTGAAATGTGCGACTCAGCTCTTCCGCGGGGAGCATCATTTACGTGACACATCATGCTAATGCGTTTTAAAGACGTTCCGGCTTAAGGGCTAATTAATATTCCCCAGGACGAAGTGCATATTTCTCCGGTAAGAGCCACTTCATCAACGCCGGCTGTCATGACCGTTACTGAAACATTTTCTACAGACGCTCAAAAAAAACATGGCAATGATTCCACAGATGTCATTATCAAATAAACAAATAAATGGAATTGAGGTTTGATAATTTACAGTGTGACCATAAACTTTAAATCAAAAGAAATCATAAATACAACCAATACATAGAACTTGAATTCATAAAACTAACTTTTTTAATTATAAAGTGTCAACATAAATAAAAGTTTTCATGTCTGCAAACATAAATGTCTGTCAAAGGTTCATATCGGTCGATTTTTATCAGCAGATCCATAAATGGGTCGGGCTCTGAAGCAGCTCGGCTTGTAAAGGAAACTATTGTGTGATGTCTCCTGAAGCTTAAAAAGTAATTGTGAATCCAAAACTGAAACAACCCTGATCACATCTCAGCTCGGGGCTTGAAAGATACGGGGATTTAAGAGGCAGTGACAGCATCCTGGGAAGTGTAGGATCCATATGTTTGACTCAGACCCAGGAGTAAAATTAAAGATAATCTCTGGTTCCATTTTGACCATTCTTTGTAATAACAATCTTACGAGACTTACAATAACCCAGTTGTACTGTTTTAACAATCTGCTATGTGTGAAAGTGAATCTGTCTCCAGAGGCCAACCAGGCCCCAGCTGTCCTCAGCAGACCCCTACCAACAAAGAAGAGTTCATGTCTGCACAAATCCAGCTGTTTTGACCCAGATCCACTTTCATTCTCCTCCCTCTGTAAATCATCTGTGAATGCAGATATGAGCAAAATCCCCTTCAAATGGAATGAAATCCCCAAGCTCAAACAGTAAACATCCTTTTATTTCACAGGAGTCAACAAACCACCTCACAACAGCATGTAAAGCTTAAACGAGAAAGGACAAAGGATGAGGCTCAAATTCCTCACGTCGGTACTAAACAGCACAAACTACAATATGTACAAAGGGCCCCACATGGTTGTAAAAGACAGTGCGGAATAAATACAATATGATTGGGTTTTTTTATTTACATATGTATATATGCACAAGCTAAATGTTTAATATAAACAAATCTGTCGTACAAATTGCACTTGCCGATGGCTGTGAGGTAAAACACACAGTGACACTACAGACTACAGTACAGTCACTGTTTCTATAACAATCGTTTTCTTTTCATGAGCCTGAGCGGTGACTTTGAACCTCATACCATAGTTTAGAATATAAGACACCCGCTTCTCCTAAATAAATTATCCTGCTTAATTAATGACCCAACCGCCGATCCAATAAAATAAGACATAAATAAAAAGAAAACATCAGGATAAAACCACTGGAGCGTCCGTGCGCTTTATGGCAAAGTGCGTTCAACCATTAGGACGCATCACATCCATCTATCCGGACATTTCGGGGACGATGTCGTTTTGGAAAAGTGGATAATCTCTGGCACCATAAATATACTTGGAGACTTTTGCGCATCTTGGATAGATAGTTGGTCCTCATCTGGAAAAGAGTGAACGTGTCCTCCAGATGTTTGATTTCTTTAAGGTACAACTTTTGCGCATAGCTTTCTCCAAAAATACGCACAAGCTGAGGGAGACACATCCCTGTAATCCACGTCCACAAAAGTTTCCCTCACACCTGCGATTCAGAGTGAGGCAGCTTATTCGCGGTGCCCCCCAGGCTGCTGTCGCTGTTGTCCAGACCGGGGCAGTCTGGCCACAGCCCCAGCGCGCCGTGCTCCAGTGTGGACACGAACCCTCCGGAGTAGCGGGACAGGTCGCAGGAGCTGATGTGCAGCCTGCGGTCCGCTTGCCTCGGGCAGCACAGCAGCCTCTTGAACGCCTTCCTGAAGTCCGGGCTCCGGCAGTAGATGATGGGGTTGAACGCAGAGTTCACGTACCCCAACCAGTTCAGGAACACGAACAGGTTCTTATCCACCACCTCCGCGCTGAAGACGCGCACCACGTTGACGATGAAGAAGGGCAGCCAGCACAGCGTGAACGTCCCCATGATGATGCCGAGCGTCTTGAGAGCCTTCTGCTCCCGGAGCGCCAGGATCTTGGACGGCCTCTTCCTGCACTTGGAGGTCAGGCCGGTTAAGGTGTTGTGAAACCTGCCCTCGCACTTGTCGATTTTCCTCAGCTGCTTCTTCGCCTCCCTGTACACGCGTGCGTAAACAAAGATCATAACCAGGAGAGGAATGTAAAAAGAAATGATGGATGAGGAGATGGCATAAGCCCTGTTGGTGACAAAGTCACAGCACTCCGGGTCCTCGTAGCAGTCGGTGTCCTCGCTGTCCCGGGACCAGTGCATGAGGATGGGGAGGAAGGAGACGAGCGCAGAGATGGCCCACACGATGCACACCACGGCTTTGGCCCGAGCTTTGGTCAGCAGGCTCTGGTAGCGAAAAGGCGAAGTGATGGCCACGTACCTGTCTATGGCGATTACGCACAGGGTCTCGATGCTGGCGGTGACGCAGAGCACGTCCACGGAGATCCAAAACTCGCAGAAGAAGGAGCCGTACATCCACGAGCCTCGCACCTCGAGCGCGGCGCCAAAGGGCACCACCAGCAGCCCCATGATGAGGTCCGCGCTCGCCAGGGACACGATGAACACGTTGGTGAGCGTCTGCAGCCTCTGCGTCCTGGCGATGGCCACGATCACCAGGATGTTCCCGAGCACGATGGACAGGACGATGAGAGCCATGATCAGGCTCAGTCCCGCCATCCACTGCTCGGACGCGGAGGAGCCCGGTGCGTCCGGCAGCTCTCCCCCGGTTCCATTGTGGAAGTTCAGCGGCGAGGACGCGCCACCGTCCCCCATGACGGGCTGCTGCGCTGAGTGCGGCACCAGGGCGAGTTCATCCACGCAGTGCGAGGGGGCCTCTCCACTGTGCGCGGTCTCACGAGCCGCGCGCTCTTCACACGTCTCGCACCATCTCTCTCACTCCCTCACTCTCTCTCTCTCTCCCTCTCTCACCCTGCGCCGGCAAGGACATCAGAGCTGCCCGTGACGTCACTGCCCCTCACGACCAATCAGAGAGCTCAGCGCACTAATTGTTCTGAAGTTGAGAATGAAAACCTCAAAAATATAAATATGTCGCAGTCCAGTTACTTATACTAGTTATAACACTATAGTAATAATTCTAATAATAATAGCAATATCATAATAAGAGCTCATACATTATTTGAAGAGCACTTTTTATGCGTAAAACAAACCAAATAGACTCATGAACTTGTTTTATAAATCAAAAATAATTATATTGTGGTTAACAAGATAAAATATGGCTACAAGGGAAATATAGTCCATTAACGCAGGTGAAATATAAATAAAGTAATTTAAAGGATAGGCTTCAATTCAATTATACAAACTATACAGTGAATACACTCATATATTCATGAGTACAGTGTAAACTACATTTATATGTATACTGTATGATATACTGTATTCATCTGGATACACTAATAATATGTAATTTAAACACAGTATTTGTATTCTAGTTCCGCAGAGATTTAATACTAAAAAACTAGCAGCTTTTCTGTGTTTTTTTTTTATTGTTATCTGTGAACAATCTTTGGGAACATGAGAAGCCAAATATGGACGTCCACCAAAAAATGGACGTTGTGAACTGCAGAGATTTCCCTGTTTTCATCGCTTGCCATCACAAGCAATATTTGTTTTTCCATTTTATATTTTTATCAAGGATACATTCCACGGCCATGTGGTCAAGTTCAGATCTCTGCTCCGCTGCATGAATCTTTCTTCCCCCAATGAGTTATGGGTTTGACTCAGTCAAAGTTCAGGTATCGATACAGCAACAAAGCCTGAGTGATTTAGGACGATTTGTTATCTACAAGATCACATGAGATCTGAGGTATTTGGGCTTTTAAGTGGTCAACAGCAGTGTCAACAAGCTGAGGAGAGTCAACCCCAAGGGTCAGTTAAACACAGTGCAGCTCAAACAAAAACAACGAAAGAGCCGCAGGCAAACAAATACAACCCACACAGCAGAGAGGAAATTTAGTTGAATTAAAGCTAAATTTAAAGGAAGACAAGAAGCCATAAGTTGGATTTTACCAATACGGCCTCCACGGGGAGCAGCACATCATTAGAGCTAATGCAGTTCTGTTATTTTCAAACATTAATGGAAAATGGAAAACTGGAAAATTACTTTTTGAAAATACGGTCGTCTACACTCGGGGAGCCACTCAAGACGACGTCTTCACGAAGTCAAAGCATTTTCAGTGGCCTTGTGACTCGCAGGCTGCACAGAAAGAAGGATGATGCTGCGCCTTGTTTTTCTGCCTGCTCATCAGCATGACTGTTCGTGAACCTGACGACCCAGAGCCAGAGGCTGTGCAACGCCCCGACACACACATAACAAAGCTCATCTCAGAGTGTCAGTGGAGCTATCCACCTCAGTTACTCTACACATGGAGGGAGGAGCACACTTACTCCTGACCCCTTCTTACTGAGGGGGCTGTTTCTCTTAACAGTGAAAAACCAGGATCCTGTTTCAGTTCAACTGCGTATGAATTTAAACACAACCACCTTTAATAAGAAAATGAAAAACAACCAGCAGCAGCAGGAACAAGAGCTCTACAAGTTCACGGCAGCAGCAGAAGGAAACAATCAGTGCGAAGCTTCCCAGTAAAAATCTCATTTAAACCATTAGGTGTGAGAGCATGAAGGGAATCAACCTACAAGCTTCTCGCTGGAGCGGCTTTTTTCCTCCATGTTTGGGCAGAACAACCCCCACAGTGACCACAAATCTCTGGCCGCTGACATCATGTTTGTGCTCACTACTTTTATTAAAATCAAATGGGAGCAGTGGGACAATATGTTCTCGCGGCCCTGTGGTATTTTAAATTCTTAGAAATACTTATGGCCACGTTCACATTTAGTAGCCACATAGTTCTGGGTTTTGATTGGAGTGTGAACAGGTTAGCTGCCATTTTAACTGTTGTGAGCGTCTCAGAGAAAGACGTCAAACATTTTGACAAATAACAACAAACTGGAGCAGAGTGCATTTCACCACCAAGGCTGATTGGACACTTTATCGTCATATTGCATGTACATGTATAGAGATCAGACCGTTCACATGAAACCGAGGCTAAATATCCATTCAATGATCCATTCAAGATTACACCCCCTCAAAAAAAATGAATTCAACCAGAGAAAGAGTGAAAGACAGAAGAGAAAGAAAAAGAGAAAGAAAGAAAAGATCAGACAAAGACAGAAGAGAAAGAAAGAGGAAAAATAAGAGAAAGAGGAGAGGGAGAGAAAAAAAATATTTTGCATTGGCAGAAAACTGAATTTGGAGAACTTGGCCCTTCAGGATGTTAAATTCATTTTTAGTGAAGTTATCTCCAAGTCTCTCCACTTTGCCAGTGTCTCATTTAAACCTCTGAAATGTGATTTATCTTTCCACATTTTTCCACAATTGTTCTTTCAGAAATGAAGAGCTCTTGTCCGCTGAGCAGCAGCTACGCCTCCTACACCTGTACACGCAGCGTTTCAGTGTCACGGTAACAAGAGGAGTAAAGCAGGTCCAACTTGACTTTTGTGTCAACACTGATGTCGGGTCAAAGGTCGGCGTTGACATTGAAGTTCAGTGACTTCCTGTTTCAGAATGGAGGCGAGCAGGTATGATGCGTTCAGGTGATGTGGGAGAACATTTGACAGCAGCTCTACTCAGCCCCCCGTTTCTGCATTCCCCCCGTGTCGTCCCACAGCCTGGAAATGATATTTTATCTCGGGCGCTGATACGATCTTAATGGAGCCCACTCAGCCAGAATGACGAGTGAATAAATGTTCCTGCAATTAAAACCGTGTTAAACTGATTTTCTCCTTCGCTGAAACTCNTTCCAACACGATTTAACTTTTAATAAAATTACTCATCTGATGTTTATGCAACCTTTCACCATTTCAGAATCAGAAATACTTTATTTATCCACGTATTTAAATTCAAACAGGGAGGTGATCAAGAGAGGTCAACAATTAACCAGTGTTGATTTCATGCCTCATGAGTGTCATAGGTGGGATTACAAGCCCCTGAGGAAGCTTTTTAAAAGCCTTGTTTTGTTCTGCTGGAAGAAGCCGCGTGCTTGTGGACGATTTAATCGAATCACTCAGGAGGAAACCCTCATGCCTCGATTAGTCTTTCCTGTTTAAAAAGGTGTTACATCACCATAGAAGCCATCACTTGGCAGCTGGAAGAGGAGGCGCCACTGCCAAGCTCCTGATGACACCCCCTGGACTCCTGATTATGAAAACCTTAAAGGCTTGTAAATCTCTTGCTTACTCCCTGTTCATGTGCCAGAGTGGCCCACGGTGACCGAGACGCCGTTAACGCCAGCGAGCGTGTGACAGACAGCAGCCAGAATCACAAGGGGTTTATGGTGTCATGGAAGATACAAGTGGGGGGGGGGAGCAGAGCCATGCATTGACCTTTTCACTTCATGTGCTCGAGGACAGATTCAGAATCGATCCACTGGTTTTGATGAAACTTGAATAACTTTTTTCAGAGGCACCCTTAACCTCGACTTCTTACAATCTTAGGAACCTTAATAAAAAGTTTGAAATGTGTTAAGGTTGGAAAAATAATTGGAAAAGGCCTTCATCTAGACGCTAATTGACAGTTACAATAAACACGGATGACAAACTCCTATTAGGACATGAACTCAAACTCTGACCCTCGAGATTATTTATTGAAAAGGTTTGTCATTAAGAAAACCCCCTCATGCTAAATGGTTTAACTCTTCACTTGTCTAATTTCTTAACATTATTAAAAACTGACAGGAGGACTTTAAAACCAATGTCTGGCTGCTGCAGAAAATAATGACATAAAATAACCCTTTTTACACATAAATAAAATTCTTAAGACCCGTTAAATATTTGTCTTCAGCAGAAACTAATGAGGCTCAGACTCACAGAGAGGGTAACGGGAAATGGAGCATGGACACATTTGGTATTTTCGTGGAATGTGTTGACAATAAGAAAAATGTCGGATGGCGACAGCCTCATCTTTTATGTGATGTGTTGATTGACAGTTTACCGAACAAAACCGAGTCTGAGAGAACATACATGTCTGTACAGGAGTGTGCTTTTATTTTTCCAAATGTCAGGTGACTGTGAGTTAGTCAAACCATCAAAACTACCTTAAATCTGCAAACATGAGAAAAATGTGCTGCTTCAGGTAAAAGGAATGCGACAAATGACAGGTATTTAGTGCATGATGTGAAACAGGAAGTCTGTCAGTCGGGGTCAGCTCACATGTAACCTCACACTGTGGCCAATTTAGGGAATTGAGCTGAGCTCATTAGAAAAGCTTTTGATAAAAATCTCCCATGGCAGAGCTGCAGCCTTTCATTTTTATTAATGTATTGTGGTTATGGCAAGTGACCTGATTTGCAAAGGAGGCATATGAGAGGAATTTTCAGGAATGGTGTGAAACCTCAGCTTCTTCTCATTGCAGACATACAACCAGGGGGTATAAAAATGTTTTATTTGTTTTTCTGCATCCTGAAGAGCAGCACTAACTAACAAGGTACCCTCCAAGACAAAAGCATGTGAGTGCAGTGAGAAGAAATCAAGTGAGACTTGGTAAACACCATCAGGAACTTAATGCACACCAGCAGCCGCTCAAGCTCATTACTGTTCATTAACAAATTCCAGAGGGATCAGAGAGCAGAGAGAGAACCCTGGTGAAACTCGCTCAGCCAGAAAAATAAATAAATAACTTTTCCCATGACAGAAATATATTGTTATTGCTTCAGATACAGTCAAAGTGTCATCACTTCACACCTCTTCTCCAAGGCACTGCGGCCGAGAAAGCCAAACCGAATAAGAATAACAAAAAAAAATAAAGTCAGACAAGCACAATTAAATCATGAGACATGATGACAATCAAAACACTCTGATGGCCCCTGTCTGACAACAGCTAATAACTTTGAAAACCAATAAAGGGAAAATGACAAACGACAACTTCCACATTATCATATTGTGTTACACAACAAGGCACACAATGTATTACAGCGTGGCGTCATTAGAGCATCTCTTTCATATTAGGCTCCCTTTGTGGAGGAGAAATTAACTGTATAGATGCACAGAGAGATACAGATTTCAATAAGACTGTTTTTCTTAATACGGTTTTCACAGTGCACACAGCGAGCAGAAGTCAGTCCGTGTCATCGGTTCACGAGGTCACTTTCCCTTATTGGAAACAGGCACTTCATTCATTGGCTTACATAACCACAATATTTTTACAGTCTTAATGAAACGAATTCCTTGTGTCATAAATAATCCTTATTAGAAGAATAATCAGTCACAGAGAGAGCGGATGCACAGAACAATGCTATGACTGTCGCCTTTAAGAGAAGACGAACTGTAAACAACTCAAGACTACTCGCTCTGCGGTGACACATGCTGCATAAATGTTTACAGGAGTTTGATTGGTGCATGTGAAGGCCCCGTTGACGGACTGTGAACTAAAGCCACAACATACATCTATTATTTTAGAGAAAAAAAATAAAGATTTGAGTTTATACTCTGGTGCTCGACGTCTTTAATATATTAATGACAATAAAAAAAAAGTGATCCTCTGCATAGATGACTTCTCATAAAGTTTCATTTCTGAAAAGAAGTTTCTTTAAAACTTAATACTTCTTTCCATGGACTGAAATTAAGGTTTCGATATATTTCCGAGAGAGCGGCCATATCTCTGCATTAGCATTCAAAAGGGATGGCAGAACAAATCCTCAGTCTCTTCATATCAGCTCTCATAAAAGGCTTTTTTAAAAATTCAAACAGAAGGCGTCTGCTAATTTTGTGTCTTTGACTTTCTCGTCCATCTGCTGGTTCAGGTGAGAATATGAAGCTGATCAGAGGCTTCAGCTCTTACTTTGTTTTTAACATCTTAAGTAGCTTTAAATCCTCCACATCATTGTTAAATGACAGTTTGTTTATCCGTGCATCCATCTGACACCTCGTTCACCACCTGCCGATTAGATCATCAAAAGTTTCTCATCAATTAAATATAAAAGGCTTTTATTTTGGAGGTGCATAGTTTCTGATACACAAGGTGGCTTTGAGATGAACTTCTGCTTTTATAAAAATATAAATTTCGAATGGAGACAGTTTTCTGGCCTCTTCTTTTTTAGCCTGCTGTTGGGTTTGCTGTTCAGCCTTACTAAAAATGCCCAGGGATAAATCTATTTACATTCCTATCAATAACCGTCACACACAGTAAACAACATTACAGAGATGATGCATTACAATTTGGAGAAAGAGCTTCGGAGTAGTCCGAAATGAAATAATGCAGAAAATCAGGTTTTTACGAAATGCATTTTTTGATAAAAGTGACGGCTCCGTCACAAACAATCTTTTAGTTTTAGTCCTGATCAGAAGTTAAAGTGACATTTTAAAAAGTGGATTCACCGGCTGTTTGGACAAAGTGAGAAGTTTTAGAAGGCATGAGTTAACGCCACAGTGACCTCCTCCTCTCCGGGATTGGCACTTATCTGTAGAGGCTGAGTGAAGGAGGCCGCTTTCATCATACAGGCTTTACCTGCCTCCATACAGTAGTACACCCATACACCCAAAGTGAGGCTTGCTTCGCCGGTCGAGACCTTAACAACAGCTGGAAGTTTGGTTGAGACGCAGAGGGGCCTCGACAGATCCAATATGTCGCCTGTAACCACCTTATTGTCAAGCAGCCACTCGTTACCTGTGAAAAACAGGAAACAGGATTATGAAGGTACAAAATCTGTAGTCTGACCGAATCTGGATCATTTGTTTGGTGAGACATTTATTTGCGTCTCTGTGAGCCAATGTTCTTGAAGGCAGGTGATTCACAAAAAGCAAGACTGCTCCTTATTCTGGATGCAGCTCATTCACAAAGTGTCTGAATGATAATGTCTGTGTCACATCTGAATTTATTGCTGAGCGAGGTGCACCCTGCGTACTAGATTGGCTCGAGCATCACACACTGCCGCTAAATAGAGTCGGCTAAAATATAATCACGTAAAACCCAGCGAATCAGATGACGTGAGGGTGAGGACATGAATTTTCAGAGATATTTTTAGCAACGAATACTCATTGGAAAAAAATGGGGCACGGGCACGGGCACTGAAAGATGGGTCAAAGTCAAAAAGAAAGAATCAAGAACATTAACTGTGAGAAAATATTACGCTGGAGAGACGGTGATTAATGAAGCTGGTGCCCAACGTCAGGTCCCATGGAAGCCATTTGTGAAAAGCCACTGAAAACACTTTAGATCTGGTGTGCGCTTCTAACTTGATCCATTCAAATTCTCTGCTGTGATCTGATCAGCATTAAGTCTAGACTGGATACAGTCGGACAGCGGGGATCACGTAACATAGCCTGGTAGCTAATTATGTGAACCAAGGCATGTCGTCTTATCGAAATGTTCTAAAAATAGCTCGCTGATATCGCCGACTGCCTGCTGCGTCGCTCGGGATGACGGAGACACTCTGGTTCTAAACCTAATGAACGGACCATCAACCGTCACTAACATAATATCTGAAATCACCTCACACTTGATCCTGGGGTCAGACTGCTGTTGATTACAAATGGAGAGCGATGAACGAAGCCTTTGCTCAGTATGTGGCAGGTAAAATCATTATATTATTCATGGAGCATTAAAAAAAGAGTCCCTGACCGATCTCTCCACGCCTCAGCTGAGAACTGTAAATCCCCGGTGTGGGTTGTTGCACAGTGAGAATGACACGAAGGTTAAGTATCATTCACTTCCATTATATTTTTGACAGAATCATGGATCGCAGACCAAAATAAAGCCTTGTAGGAGAGGTTGAGAGGCTCCCATCAAGAATAGAAGAGGGTCATTGTAAATGAAGAGAACATGGCTACACTCACAGGGAGAAATAACAGGCGAATGAACACTTTTTGAAAACAATAATTCAAAGATTAAATCATTCCTTTGCTGAGCATGAGTTTGAGACAAGTGCACTTTCGTAAAAGTGTGGAAATGTGGATCTTTTGTGTCTTCACTATAATTTCCTGACCGTCCATGTGATTAAATTCTTCCACTTTTTTTGGAAGTAGCTTGAAAAGAACACGGGTTGGTTGCGTTTGTTTTGGGCTAAAATCACTCGCTGCTTGTTACAAATATCGAACAAGCAAGAGAAACCAAAATGGCAAATTCTGTAAGGTGGTGCATCGTGAGAGGAAGGAACTGTTCTTTAAATGTCAAGTGTGTGGTCCTGCATCTCTGATTTGAAAATCCTCAGTGCAGCAGGCATTAACTCACAGTAAAGAGGTTTTCACTTTCATGTGTAGGGTAAATCTGATTATAACATTTACATGACATCTGTAACAATGAATGAACTTTGTCTCACCCTCGGCTGAGAGAGCCCAGCAGCTGGGGGCCTCCTCAGTGAGTTTGGTTCCTTCTGGAAGGGACAGGGTGAGCGACAGGATAAGAGTCTGGCCCACAGACACCGCTACCGGTGGCATTGCTTTCCTGGCAGCTGATTTAGGCAGTGTGGGGGCTTTGGCAGGTCGCGCAGGTACTGAGTCTGTGTAGTCCATGGATATGGGGAACTGGAGTGGAGAGAAATTGGGGTGATTAAAGAGGAGTAAGGAGAAAGCGATTGATACTAACCATGTCTCTATATTTAACCTCCAATCTCTTCTAGTACAAAGGCATTTAGGATAGATTAATGACACACACACACACGTGTACAAAATGATGAGCACATTCTCAAGGTTGTAACACACAGACATGGGTCTGACCAGTGAGACAGTCTTGGAGGACAAGTCCAGAATTTTGATTTGGTGGTTGTTGGTATCCGCGACGTAAAGAAGCTTCTCTTCACCGCCAACACAGATTCCTCCAGGTTCATTGAAGCAGGATTTGTCAAATTCAGGGCCCAGAGCATCTCCAGCCTCTCCAGTCCCCGCTAATGTGCAACACTGCTTGGTCTTTGGATCCACCACCTTGATCTGAATCAAACAGCCAAACACGCAATAAAAATAAAAATCCTGTATGATCACTGTATGGTATCAGATCAAAAATAAGAGAAACGCTTTGTGCAGCCACTCAACAACTTGAATTAGCTTTGAACAGCAGCCATGTGACGTGCAACAGTTACCTTGTGGTTGTAGGAGTCGGCCACATAGAGCAGGCTTTGTTCAGGAGCCCAGGCCACACCGAGTGGATGCTGCAGCTTGGCATCCACCCCTTTCCCATCTACATCCCCAAAAGCAAAGAGGTTCTGGTTCAAAAGAAGATAAAAATGGTCAGGAGAGATGGAAAGAAGAGATAGAAACGTACAAATGCCTTAAGTGTAACTTGTGACCCCTTTGTTTTGAGTCAACATGGGTGAAAGAACAGAGTCAAATTTTAGAACCGCCTCCAACCAAATTGAAACCATTTCTGTTTTTGACAGACAAAAAGTCTTTTTAACCATCAAACTACAAACTGAAGCCTGTTATAGAAACAACCAGTTTCTATGAGAAGCACACTATACAAATTCTGATTAATTCATAAGAGAACAGAGGCAGTAGACAATAGAACAAAAGATCAGACGTGAAATCACAGTGGTGAAGATCATGTGGAAAAAAAGATTTTTCCTGAAAGAGACAATTAAAAATGAAATGAACAGTTTTTAATCCAACATTGTTTCGAGCAAATGTGATCCGAAACAGATAAATTACCATTACAGCCAATCAACAACCAATCTGTTATAATTGGAAAGAATTGGAAATAATAGCTTTTTATGCTGCATCACTCGGATCAATAACTGTTCACAGCTGCAAATGTAGTGCCAGTGAAATGACAAACAGAAGAGTGTAACCCGTTACAAATGAATGTGCATCTGAGGGGACACCCTTCGTCCTGCACTTTTAACAGCACTATATGCATCAGCACGTGAAGTATCTGGCCGATGCACATTTACGATTTTAATCCTATTTAAAGGTTTAATGTTTCCATGTCTAAGTTGAAAAGCTGAAACAGCTACAGGCAGTAGATCACAGAGTACGTTACTGGCTCCCTGCCATGTTGAATAAACTGTATATGACTCCAGTTAATTACTCCCCATTCTTATGGAGGACTACACGCTTTAGAGCTAAAGGGAATTTCCGATAAATCCACTATAGTGTCAGGATAACTCCAGAAGCACTACTGCAGAGCTGCTGTGAAGATACAGACACAAACTATTTTTCAGGCTTTGGTTCAGCGACAAACAAGAGAGGCTTTGTTATGTTTTCACCCATGTTTGCTTTGTAGGTTTGTTATTTATCAACTCCATGAAATTGTGTAGAGAGGCATGACCCATAGTAAACTGACTTAGGAACACAGGAACCCACTCTGATCCAGGATGTCTCCACCCCCCCTTTCTTTAAATCAATACTTTATATCGATTAAAAATTTAAAATGGTGCCGAAAACAAGTGGTTATGAGCATTTCTGTGGCTGTGGCAGATTGATGTGCAGTTTTAAATTACATGTTTGCTGTTAATGGGTGGAGGCAGAGCCAAGTACACAAGTTATCACTGAAATTACTGTGCGGGACGTTATTTATTTCTGCTTTGGGAATTGACTTTTAATTTCCTCCACCTTCTGTTCAAGCCACTGTTCACTGTATTGTCTTTAATGATAATAATAAATACACTAAAATGATTAAAAATAAAAATACACTAACTAGGTATTAGAGACACTGAAAATGTGTTTTCTAGCAGAAGAAAAAGAGAAGTCTTCAATCCATCCATCAAGTTATAAATGAATTCATGTCAACCCACCATCGGGTCTCGCTCTCCCCCGACCAGCAGCTTGACACCTCCATCCTTCAACGCGAGGGTGCGGATGGTGCTGCTTTCACTGTCGGCCACGAACAGGCAGCCCCTGGGCTCCTCCGGGGCCAGAGCCAGGCCTGAAGGCTGAGCAAAGCCTGCCTTGTGGGGGTAGGAGTTGTTCCGGTTCTCCTCGCTGCCGCTGCCTGCCCATCGCACGCACGTTCCCGCCTTCGACACACTGTTTTTGTGGACAAAGCAATGAAATACATCATCGTCATAGGCAATGCTTATGTCAAATGTAATTTTTGGGGGGTTGAAAGGTTTTCTTTTGCCAAGTGGCCATGATGGTCTCACCTTCCTTTGGGCAGATTTCCATCTGCTAGAAACAGAGCCCAGATCTGGTGGGTCCCTGCCATGGCGATCCACAGCACGTTATCTTCCACACCGCCTACGCATGCAAATGAAATGCACATACATTGACAGACACAAAACAAAAACACACAGTGAGTTTAGAAACAGGAAACATTAGTGCTTTTGGCTGTTTACCAGTCAACTTCACTTAACTCATATTTGTTCAAAAGCTAAAAAAAAGTCCTTCAGTTGTTGACCTTTCTTCATTCGTAACTTTTTACCCCGTTCCAAAAAAATCTGAATTTCCTCTTTGATTGTTTGGTGCCAGAAATGAGTGAGAGCTGCAGCCCAGCGGGTTTGAATGACAGCGCCCTGTCTGACAAAGCCCGTATGTCCCCTCAGACACACTGAGCAGAGCTGCCATCATGACGGACGCTTACAGACAGACGCACGGAATCTCAGTTGTATTTTTAATGCAGCGCAGAGCTCAGCTCACATCTGGGCGACTGTCAGGAGCATTTGAAATCTGCGGCACCTGACTCGATGACAGCCATCACCGACACTTTATAGTTCAAAAGGTGCAGGGGCCTCTTGATTTGGTCCATTATTTATATGCACTGTGAATAAATGTGGAATATGCAATGCGTGTTTGGGTGTCCTCTCAACAGGGACAACGTCAGCAGAGTTTAAAGGTCTAACACCACGTCCACACAGCATGTGATGTTTCAAAGCAGCACATCATCCATCAGCCTGTGCAGAAAATGTGACCTATTTCCTCTCAGGCAACAGCTGAACAATGGTGTTAAAGAAACACGAACTGATGATGAGCAGAGTTCTGCCCAAAGCCAAATAAACAACTGTGTCCATCCTCCAAACTCCGTAAAGCAAGCATCGTCACATGGAAGGTTGGAGATGTGCCGCTGCTGACAACACCTTGAAAAACACTTAAAGACACTGAAGAATAAACAAAGTTAATCTCATGAAAGAATGCTGAAAGAAAAACTGATTAAACTAGAAACCGCTGCCAATGTCAGTCTCCTTAAAGTCAATTCAACTATACACCACAGTGTACACACTCAGACATCAGTCCCATACATATGTCTGACGTTTTGTTTTGTTTTTTAAATCAAGATTTATTCATTATTCCAAATCAATAAATTATGCCGCAGATGCAAAACAATTCTCCCAAATTTAGCAGCAGCAAACTGCAGCGACTGAAAGGCGTTTACACGAGTGGATCATTTTTACATTCCCTCTGAAAGCTCACAACAGAAGAACACTAGCATTAAAAGAATCTGAGACAGACCAGAAGTTACAGTTTAAAACAGTCTACTTTGATTAATGCTAAACATTATTTTAATAAAAAAAAAGAACTGGGATGTATAATAAAAGTGAGGCATTAGAGGAGGATTTTGCACAAGAGTCTTCATGAGAATATGAAAGACCTTGTGAGAAAATGACTCAGTAGAAGAGAAATTTGTTAATAAGAGGCTTATTGTCTCCCATCATTTGAGGCCCCACAGATTAATATCTTCCAATAACTTAATTAGCCCATTCAATTGACTTTCCGCCTCTGTGCATCCCTGAACATCGAGAGTGATTTGTGAAGCGCTATCCATTCTATTCACAATCAAGTTTCAGAACTGAAGGACTTAGTTGAGAAATTGTAAACGAGTAATTAACATCTGAATCACTAATGAATCGCTGCTTTTTAGAGATTTTTATTTGCCAGCTCAGGACATCCACTTCAAGCAGAAGATGTATTTAGAAAGTGAATTATATGAATATAATTTGTGTATATGAGTGTATGTGTAAAAATATTAAGCATCTAATATCGTTTTTTTGTTTTATTCTCCCTCGTGTGTGTGATCACGCCAGAATTCAAAGCCTTTTCAAAAGGGCGTGAAATGTAGTCACCTCAATCTGCCTGAACTCCGACCTACAAAAAGTACTGACAGCCGACAATGGCCAGGCAGTCTGCGAGAGGGGCGGAGCTGATGTCTATCTCTGGAGTTATTGATTGTAGCGCAGAGACAATACAAACAGCAGCATAAAGGGGATTTTGTGTGACAGACGGTGAAAGCAAGGGCAGGCACAGAGGGGGAGAGATGATAAAATGTTGTAAATTTCGCCCTTCAGGTTCCGGTCTGCGGTCACACAACTCACCGGCAGTGCCGAGAGTCACATCCCAAGGAGAGCTGATTGGCTGCTGAGGGCCCATGGCTCCACCCTCTTTGTCTGTGCCTTGAACTCCTGTGCCAGCGATCGTGATGACTCTTCTCTCCAACAGGTCAATCTAACACAAACACACACAGACAGTCAGAGTGTGTCACAGAGAAATAATAATAAGAGTTATTTTAGGAAACAGTGGAGGTCACTACCTTTCGGATAAGATGGTTCTCTGTGTCGGCTACGTACACCGTGTCTCCCTTAATGGCCACACCCTGAGGGGAATTAAAGGAGGCTTCAGACAGGTCGCCATCTCGTCTCCCACTTTCTGGCCCTGTGACAGACGTGATGAACATCAGGCAACGTTTTCACCAACTTTGTGAATCAAAGCTCTTTGTCCAGTTAGTTTTGAAAACTGAAGAAGATGTGATCTGAGTTAAACATTTTGAACCTTAGCTCATTGACATCAAGCGAAAGTTTCAAAATGATTCCTTAAACTGCAACTTCAGCTCTACTCTTTAAAATTCATCTGTATGCCAACATAAATATCATGTGTGCAGAGGAAAGCGGTCCATCCACAAAAATCTAGACGGATCCATCTTTTTTTCTCCTCATCTTGTCCACAATCAGAGCCAGTTCCCAGCGTGTACACGTCCCTGCTGATGCCAACCTCTCTGTTGGTCTGGGAACAACACAGGAAACCATGTGGCTCCTCTGAGGGTTGTTGAAGCATGAGAGTAACCTAAAAATATCAATATTGCTTGAATTTGGATGTATAATCTTCACAGATTCTAATTATTAAAAAGCAAGAAAAACAAACAAAATACTTCCCTAATTTCAAAATCCCACAGAGTGAAGGTAGAAGGATTTATTTCAACCTGGAGAGACTCATCACCATCCGGCATCCCACTTCTTACCTCCTATGACATGTGACAGCTGTCCGGTAGAGGACACCACCAGAATCCGGTGATGCCCAGTGTCAGCTATGGCGAGTCGTTTCTTGCTGTTGTCTACAGACACCTTTCCAGGAAAAGACAGGATGCTGGGTGGCAGGGAGTCTCTGTACAGCTTGATTCCCACTTTGTGGGTCTTCAGCAGGCCCTGCTCCGCGTAGTAACGGAGGGCGCTGTCAGTGAAGAGCATCAGCCTGTCACGGTGGCCTTCGCCCACCAGGGAGAAAAGCAGGTTGCCACGAGGTCCGAGCAGGACCAGTGTGGGCCAGCAGGACACCTCAAGGTCGTGCCAGAGCCGCGCCTCGCTGTCGTTCACCACCGGGTGGCAGATGTCATAGCGGAGGACAGCGCTGCGAACATTGTCAAGGACCTTACAAAGGGTTGGAGAGGAACAAAGAATATTTTAAAAGATCTTTAAATCTGTGATGTATTCATTAAAAATGTTCCATTAATAATAAATTGAAGTTTCTTGATGATTAAATCATGATGTTTTTTTGACCAAAGCTGAAAGATGTTAACATACTTGGTTGGCTGACTGTCGTTTATGCCCAAGGCTTATGTTGACAATGGTTTATTTTTGCATCAGACATCGATTTTCAACTTTAAAGTTAAATTCAACTTTCAAATAATTACACACATTTGTTGGTAGTTTGCCATTAGGAAAACGCAGAAAGACGGCACATCCAGAAAAGCTTTTCCTTTGGTAAAGAGATAAGGATGAATGAAAACCAATTACCTTTTCATTTGGGAATTTGGCAGAGTGCACACCAATAATAACCAATCCATCTGCGTGAGAGATTAAAAGAGACGGAGACAATGAAAACATTAAAAACAGCAAAATATAACAAAACTGCAGGGGGCTCTGAGCTTCATTTTAATTTTCTTACACCATCAGATATAGAATAGTTAAAGTTTTAAAGTAAAATAACTAATTTTACCAATTATTATATTAAGCTCTATATGCAGGTGGCGCTAAATACATAATTTACAGTTTTATATACTGTATATATATATTTGTTTTTCTTTTAACCACCGTCATGTTATCTATTGTTTGATATCTTCATTTTAAAAGGGAACTAAAGCTGTCCAATAAATGTAATGGAGTACAAAATACAACAATTCTCTCAGAAATGAAGTAGCATAAAGTGGAAATATTAGAGTACTTACAAGTTGTGAAATAAAAGAAATATTTGAGATTTACAGTATTTGTGACATTGTGTAGTGTAAACTGTCCATCCTGCAGAGGAGGAATACTCATATACTGCATCTTACGCTGTGCCTGGATGAATTGGATGTTCTTCTCTTAACTAAGGAACAAAAATAGGCGTATTTATTTTATTAATAACAAAAAGCAACTGGGGGCAAAATATTGAAGTCAACATTGGATAAACTCAACGCCCCGCCGCATGTTCTACAGCGCAGCTGACGCCCCTGACACACACGCACAAGAGATGCTTGGGTTCAACAAAGTCCTCCTTAGTTAAATTGTTGATTACCCCCCCCCAGGTCTCAGCGAGGTTCTTAGAAACAATTAAGAGGCTTGAGGCTGTGAATGATCTACATTTCTCAGTAGTCATCAAAGTCTATTAAACACTTCTCGTCCAGACAATGGGAGCAATTGGTTATAATATCTTTTTTAACAAGGCCAGCAGATGTTCAGCTGTTATGCAACTCAATGGCCTAAAACTGGAAAATACATATTTGTGAACCCGGTTTGAACAGACCCCTTTGTGGTGCTAAAATTGGCAGAAGTGGCTGCACATGGCAGATATAGATGCTTCGTGTCTGTTTCTCAAACAGTGTCAGACTCTGTTTAGACGCAGTCACACTTGTACACATTTCATTCCCCAGTTAAAAAACTTGACAATACTGAGTGTGTGAAGTCACACAAATGTCAAAGCCTTGACAACTGATGGAGATTTAGAAGATCTATAAAATATATAAATGTTAACTACTTATAACTCATTAATGTCAATTAGGATAAAGCTTCATTCTGTATATAGATGTTAACCAATAAACTGCCGAAAATAAAACAAATCCTGATGTATTTGAAGGTAAGGACACACAATTTTTAAATGTTTTTTGTTGTACACACACACGATACATTAAAATGACAAAATGAACACAATGACTGAAAACACTTAAATTAACTGTTAAATATCAAATTTCCTCATATTCGTGTAAGCTGAATAGAATAATATGCTAATAGACAATTCAACTTTGTTTTTTAATTAGAATTAGTGAAACTCCCATTAAATAAATTGCATGATTTATTTGTGAAAACATGAAATTTAACATACATTTCAAAATACCTTTTTTTGGACCAGCACATCACATTTCAGACTATTATATAAGAAACCAGACTCAGTAGAGCGCATTCCTCTGCCAAGGACCAACAGACCCCTTAAATTCAATCAAGCTGCACCAAAATTCACACACTCATTAGACATCAGTCCCATAGGTATGACTATTTTTTCTTTTTTTTTCTTTTCTCTCCATTCCCTGGGAAATTGGTGAAAATGTCAAAAAACAAAACTATCTCACAATGTTATGGAAAATAAAATGAAATCCTGGACCTGCACCAACATTTAATAGGTTGTTTCTTGGCCCATTTTACCAACATGGAAAGGGACAGGGGCAAAAACACAAGCTCCCTTGGCCGAGGTAACAAATGGCCTCAGTCCTTCATAAATGAAACCTACTACACATTTCCAGGACAGAAGTAAAAACAGTCAAACCCAAAACAGCCTGCAGTAGATGTCGTCACTTATGGCCTGTGCCAAGCAGTTACAGTACCAGCACAGATTGTAGTGACGATGGGTGGGTGGCGGAGTGGACTGTGGGAGTGACTGGACAGGGCGGCTCCCACACCTCATTGACCAGAGCAGAATACAGAATGTACCCACAGCAGTGCCAAAGATAAGGCAACTATGATAATGTTAGTGGTGGCAAAGCAATGAAAAAGTGTGTTCTGGGCCCGACCTGGCTCAAAACCGAATCTCAAGCTGCACAGCTTCCTCTGATGATCCCCTGAAGGACCAAAGTCACTCGGATGTGATTATGCTTCACATGGGTTGGCAACACAAAGCGTATAATTATGGGACCAGTACTCATTGACACTGCAGCTTGGAAATATTTTTAGTCCCTGTCTCTTCACAGCTGAGATAAGGGCCTTCATACTCTAAGAACAGATGAGGACAAGCTGATGTACTACATTTCTGCCCCAGTGAACTGCCCCATGACACAGCATGACGCTTAAGGCACCAATGGATTTGTGTTTTCCTTCAGTGAGGCCTGCCAGGACTCTGCTTCCTGCTAAATCTGCAGTACCTGACTTTAAGGAATATATTTTAAAAATGGCTGGACAGTACTGCTGTTTAAGAGAGATCTTTTCACATTTAATAATTCAGCAGGAAATAACACTTTTTTTCTTAGCCTCTACCACATTCAATGTGCAGGGCCAACCTAAAGTAACTCACAGCATTAAGATGCTGTATTGATTGGTTGACAAACACTGGACAGGAGCCAATAATTCACAGACACAGGGCACAGTTCGTTAGTGCCATAGTTTAATAGAGTTTGACAGCATTACTGTGGAGTTGCAGAATGTGTTGTAACTTCATTTCAGTCTGCGAAAGTCTTTTTGAGATGAAAGTGAGTCAACCGACATGTCGGATATGTTTGAACTTCACATATGACCGTTGCATTTTACCACGATTTCCGAGGTTTCTGATGATGAGTGTTACAAATGCACTAAATGACACAAGCATCTGCTAAATGTTCACTAAAAAGACATACATGAGGTTCCCCAGCTTTCCTCGAACAAATGGCTTAGAAGCCATCTGGACCAACCAAGCTTTCCAACGTGCCTTGTAACAGCAGAATTTATATGCAGATCATAGTTTAAGTATTTAAACGTATACAGGTCATTTCAGCCGCTATAGGGATCACACAATCAATTCAAAACAATGAAAAGACTTAGTTTGATGATGTCGTGAAGCAGTGTGGAATCATGGGAGTTGTCTTCACCACACTTTCTTGACCCATAATGTTATTGGGTTGCTTGGTTCCCCTTTGCTTTTGTGCTTTGAGCTTCGTCGACAAAATGCACAGCAAACGGCAATGGATAATCGTGATCCATTACGAGTAACTAATACAAAAAAAACAGCTAACAGTGTGTTTTTCCTGCGTCATACGACGTTTGCCCCAAAAGTTAAAGAACAAACAGACATAACCACGAGTAAAGCAGATAAGATGCAATTAAAAGGCAACAGATATGAAATGTCCATATACCTTGAAAAAAATTGGGGATTACTCTGAGTTTGAAAAATCTTTTTGAATAATGTTGTTAAACAAGTCAACAAATGATATAACAGATTAAGTTGTTTGTAGACATTTTAATGAAGAAATACTACATATTATATCTGAAATTCACTGACCTATGATTCATTATGAGATTAATTGTTCACACTGTGGGTGGTTTTTTTATGTGTAATTTCAGATACACACACAAACGCTTGTGGAAGGAGTGTTTCATGCTCAGGATCAGGATCCCCATGCTACCTGTTGCTTTACATGATAAAGTTGCAAAGTCCATACCTTCGACAGAATGTTTCTTCTCGAGCTGGTGCAGATCAGGCAGGATGTGCATGCAGTTGATGCAGCAGTAGGTGAAGAAGTCCAGCAGCACCACTTTGCCAGCCAGATTCGCGTTCAAAGACAGAGGCCCCTCTGTGTTCAGCCATTCCAAGCCTGGAGCAGATCACAAAGTGGAAAAGGATGCCGTTATCTTACTAATTACATTTCGTCACAGTGTCGGCATATGCTTTACAGTGCCCATTGCAGTCGTCCTAGGAGGGTAACGCTTGCGGTCGCAAGATTCTTGAGGGTTATATCTGTCTCAGGCCTGACAAAGAGTTCATGTCATGAGAAAAAAAAGTTGGACTGCAGCAATAACTTAGAAATATTCACAGCTAATGTAGCTATGAAATACCTAAAAATAAATGAATTGGAGATTGTGTCAAGTTTTTGTTTTTTTTACACTTATACCTCATTGAAAATTGGGTCTGATGATTAGTCATGCTTGAAAAAACACTTACTTTCAAATTTTACATCTGTTGGGAGCCAACATAATGAGAGAAGAGGAGAGGAGAAGAGACGGGAGGCAAAATGAGAAGACAGAGAGAGAAGTATTGTGGTGTTTTAGGAGGCTGGTGTGAGGCCATGCAGAAGAAAACAAGGGAGGCAGGAGACGAGACATTAAAGGGCAAAGAAGAGGAGCAGGAGGGCAACTGGGGTGACAAGAGGAGCAAGGAAAAAATGAGAGTTAGGAGAAAGACAAAAGTAGAGGTGCAGAAACTTGAGAAACACTGCAATTCATTAAAACCATGTATCTGAAGAACTTGCTCTCATTATTTCAAAGTCTGAAAGTTTTCTCTTGAGGAGTGATTACAAATTCATCTGGTTGTGTTCAATGTGTAAAAAAAAAAAAAAAGGATACTGCACAATCACATGATCTCACAAACCCTTTCTCATTTGTGTGGTCAACAACTAGGCTAATGTTCGTGAAGAAGAAATGATGGCACTGATGAAAATGAACATGTTGTATAAACTTACAGGTAGAACGGCTGCTCTAGGAAATTTGGAATTCAACATCATCAAGGAAGCGACACCTTTTTGCTGTTATGTTGCTGTGAGATAACCTCAAATAAAACCCTTCAAAATATATATTAAGAAATATACACATTTTAAACCTATGGATGCCACGCACTTCAAAAATCAAATCCCTGTTTATTAGGCTGTCTGATGTACTACGGTACAGCCCCACCTACTGGTGTGATGAGATGCTGCCAACATGCAGCCTCTGGACAAAGCATAAATACAAACAGATTCAAGCAGTCAGCATTTATAAAGCACACCAACAACAATGTATAACTTCTACTGTAAATCAGAATGCTGAAATGACTTCCTACTATGAATTACTTGGAAACATCTATATGAAATGTTGTCATTTAGTGATACTTTACTGTCTTGTGTTATATACACTTGCTGTAAAGCTGCTGCTTTTAATTCTGTTTGAAATTAGCCTTTGTTGCCAGTGGAAGAAGAGGTTCACAGATCACTTATATTTAAGTATCAATGCCTGATTTAGAAAAACTCACATACAAGTAAAAGCACAGGATTCAAAATATTTCAAAAATATTTAAATATGAAATTAGCAAAAAAAGTAAACTTATATATTATCTAACAGATTGTAAACACACATTTAACAGTGTGTGTCAGTAGCATTTTAATGAAATATCTGTGTCACCTCTTTTAAAAAAAATAATATTGGCCTGAAGTTATGAGTGATAGATATTTAACTTGAGTATATCAAGTGTGAGTGTTAAAAAAAACACCACTAGTTTAATCTTTTACACTTTTATCAGCTTTAATGTTTAATATAAATTCTTAACCGAATGTAGAAAGTTCAAACCGTCCCCTCTTAAATGCAGTAAAGTAAAGTAGCGTGACATTTAAAGACTTAAGTAAACTCCCTCACAGATTAAAAAAGATAATTGACCCATTAAGGTTTGTGTGTGTGTGTGTGTGTGTGTGTGTGTGTGTGTGTGTGTGTGTGTGTGTGTGTGTGTGTGTGAGATACTGTGGTTGCGATAGATAGCGGTGATATGATTGTTTAAAGTATTTAAATGCCAAAAGAATTGAGTATTCTTCTGAAGCGAACCCGGAACACCAGCCCCGGGTCCTGTCCTGGCACGTTGAAGTGGACAACTCAACACACACACACACACACTCAAGACAGTGCTAAGCTAAGCGAGCTAAATGCTAAAACTCTGCTCTAACCTGTTTGGAAATCCGGTATCTTCAGGTCCTCTCTCTCGTCTAAGCTCCTCAGGTGCCGCAGCACCAGCTCTTCTCGCTGCTGCGGTGTCTCAGCCTCGTCCAGGTTGATCTCCAGCTCACTCTGGGTGGCGAATAAAGCGGAGAGGCTGCACCGGGACGCCATGTTGGCAACAACACAAGCGAGCCCGTCGGGTAAACGCACCTCGCAGATTCGTTCCACTCATACAGCCGATGCTAGAAAGCGTTTTTAAACTTTTTAAATTATTCACGGAGATAAATTACGAGTAAAATCTCTTCTGGCTTTTATAAAATGTTTAATTGGAGGTTTAACATCATGTACTCTTTTTTTTTTTTTTTTAGATGTGTAGAAAGTGCTGCTGTGTTTCTTCACTTGTCTTTACCACATTCATAACTGCCCAGTGGCGGCAGGAAGCTGCGAGTCAACATGTCCTCTCAGGAGCAGCTCGCACACAGGAGCCTGTTTATCTAAGGTTTTCACATGATGATATGTTTTAGCCCCAACTTCTATCATCGCAATGTCCAGGAACTCATCGGTCGTTGTTGTTAATCCGCTGTAGCTTCGGTCGCTTTCAGTAACTCGCGGGATGTTATCGAACTCATCGGGGGATTTGAGGAGGTCGCCGGGCAACAACATCAGGGAGGACCGGCTCTTTATCTCCACATGTCTCAAAGGGACGAGTGTGAAAATGACATCTGGGAGTACAAACCTCTCCAGAAGAAAAAGAGGACACAGAAACCACCACCTGCAGCCACAACTACAAGAAGGTGCACTACCGGGAAAACCTCCAAGAGAGACAACACTACTGCCCCCCCAGTCGAGACACATACGAGGACTGAGAAGGTCAGGACAGATGGACGAGCAGGATCTAGCACATGTGTTGATGTTGACAGTGTAGAGACCCTCACTGTGTCCTCGGTGTTGTCTCCTGCCTGTGAGACAGTTCAGACGGACAGTGCAGCTGAGGGACCGTCCTCTGGACACTTCTGCCCCATGTGTCAGATGCCCTTCTCAGTCCTGGTGGTGCAGACTCAAAGATGGCACGTTGCCGAGTGCCTCGACACCCCCAGGGACAAATGCAAAGGTTCAGACATCCGTGCTCCTTCGTTCTAAAAGACACACATCTAAAATGAGACTTGATATCTGTCTTGTCAAATTGCCTTTTCTGATTTTGAATGATGGCTGATATAAATGTTTTATCTCTTCATACAGAATGTCCAGATGGTCTCCAGTGCTCCTCTACCATCCCAAACCATTACAAGAAATTTAACCACACGCTTCTGGCCCATAGTCGAGCAAATAGCGACTCGTTGCTTCTCAGTCTTTCCCAGCAAGCCGAGACTAGAGGGGAGACCGGCCTCAGTCATCTCCCCGGGCTGATGAATAATGATGTGGATGGCTCTGAATTTGAGACGTCACAGGACAGTGCTGTCAGTGTTTCTGCCTCATCCCCTCACAATAGTATTACTGGAACGCCTCTGTCTAAACGTACAAATGGACTTCTGTGTCTTCGCTCACCTGGCCCAGATGATTTAAAGAAAAAGAAAGGCTGGTCGTCCTCGACTAAAGGCCACAAATCCATCAGTGCTTCCCAAGAGAGTAAAACAGAGATATCATCCACTCCGGTGAAGGAAGAGAGTGGAGCTTGTGAAGTTTTACCAAAAAGTGAAACTGAACACGAGGCCATTTCCTACTCACCCCTGTCAGAGTTCCCTCCACAGACTGAAGTCAATAAAAGTGAGTGCAGAAAAAGCCTTTTCAAAAGTGACGCATTTGATAATGGTGATGAAGACTCGCTGACACTGTTTGGTGACAGCTTTTCAAGTGAAGATGAACTCACTCAGTTCATAGACAACATGGAAACCAATAATGTGTCCGAAGAAGGCCTGTCGTCCTCAAACATCCAGCTGGAGTCAGTTACCTCATTAGCTGATTCCACTGGGAAAGGGGAAGGTCGTGGTAAAGCTGCCAATCCCATCAGTCCCTGTACGAGCATTCAGTCTCCACAGAGTGTTGTTTTAGAGCGCCTGAGAGAAACTCTTCAGAGCTCACAGAGTCTGTATTCCAAAGATTCAAAAGAGAGTATTCAGTCAGAGCAGCCTCACGCAAACTCTCGTCAAGAACTTAAATCTGAAACCATGCCACTGCAGAGGACCCAGAGCAAAGCTGCTCAGGCCTCCTCTCTGAAGCAGACGGACATTGGAGTGTTTTTTGGCCTCAAACCGCTAAAGAAAGAGAAAGAGGTCCAAAGTGCGCCGAGCGAGCACAGCACTGCCTCGAATCTGGCACTTGGGGAGAACTCGGGACAGAGACGACAAAGGAGAGAGAGGCAGAAGAAAAGTAAGGCTGACACAACCACTGATGCCTCACAGGGGACAGCGACTGTAGTTAGCAGTGGTGCAGCGAGCGCTCAGGGAGAAGCGAGGAAAGGTTGGAGGGGAGGATGGAGAAGAAGGAACAGAACAAATGCTGATGGAGAAGTAGAATTACCACGCTGTCCTTTCTACAAGAAGATTCCAGGTCAGTGATTCATCTGAAGGTGAAGCATTTTTGTGTGTGTGTTTAATCTAAAGTAGTTTTAATATTTTCTTCAGGCACAAAGTTTGTCATTGACGCCTTTCATTACGGGGAGATCGAGGGCATCGCTGCCTACTTCCTAACACATTTCCACTCAGACCACTATGGAGGGTTGACCAAGAACGCAACAGTTCCAATCTACTGTAACAGAGTAAGTCATGTTTTGAAAATATGAAAGACCTCTAATATTATATAATTACAGTAGGACTCAGTTTCTTTAAGATATAACCTATTTTATAAATGTGTCTGCACAAAACTTTGTCCTTTACAGTGTTTTTTCGGGACAGGAAACTTTATAAATGGTCATTTTGTTTCCATGCAGTAAATGAAAAACAGTCTCCAAAGGCCTTAAATACTGTGAACCATATTCACTCTGAACTGCTACAAACCTTTTGTTGTTTCCTTCAAAAATCCTATTTATTTGCACCTCATTAAAAAGCCTCCCTGTCTGCTCTTTTCCATCGAGTCCACAGAGTTAAGTCTGGATTCATTTGTTATCTCACTGCTCTGCATTTACTGAGAGTAATGACAATTTCACTTGCAGCCGGCAGCTATGAATAGCAATTCGCCAGTTGCTGTGTCCATATTAGCGGTTATTGAAATTTGAAGTCCTTTTTGGGAGTTTTTTACGCACTTGAGCAGAAAAAACGGAATATCCATCAAATTAAAATTTGTCCAGGTCTCATCCTTGCTCTTTGTCACTTTGCAAATGCAGCAACCAAATTAAGAATCAAGCAGTAAAGTGAATTGAAGTATTCTACAATATAATTTGGACTTTATTGGCTGTTTCATGTTTAAATAAGACATTTGTTTGCATCTTACTAAGAGCTGCCTCCTCTGGTCAGATTACAGGGAACTTGGTGAAAAGCAAGCTGAGGGTGGCAGAGCAGTACATCCACATTCTCCCTATGAACACCCAGGTGACTGTGGAGGGGGTCAAGGTCATCCTCCTGGAAGCCAACCAGTGAGTAGTCTAGCAGAGAAAAGGGAAACTCTGTATGTTGCTTCTTCAGTTTGTACCGTTACCCCCCCCCCCCCACAGCACCCCATTATCCCAACAGCACCTAAATCACCCTCACACCAAACCGTCACGTAAAACATCAGCCAACTGTTGTTTTAANCCCCCCGGTCATCATCTTAATTCACGTCCCATCTGTGACTGTGTCTTTCAGTTGTCCAGGAGCTGCCATGCTGCTGTTCTTCCTGCCTGATGGACAGACGATCCTCCACACTGGAGACTTCAGAGCTGATCCCTCGATGGAAACCTACCCAGAGTTACTCAGCTGCAGAGTGCAGACGCTCTACCTGGACACCACGTGCGTACCTCTCTCATACACATTGAATATAAGGGCAGCAAAAGCAGGGTGGTTGTGGTACTGCACTGCTCTCAGCCTTTTTGGATTATTAGCTTGTCTCATACATTAACCTGCAGCCACAACCACTCCCCGAGGACGATTTCCCTGTTTCTAACTCACAAGTTAAAGTGATGCACGTGCCCGGAGCGGACTCAGATTTTCAGTGTCAGCTCTCTTCTCCCTGTAGCTACTGCAGCCCTGAGTACACCTTCCCCAGACAGCAAGAGGTCATCAGCTTTGCAGCCAACACAGCGTTTGAACTGGTGACGCTCAACCCACGTACACTTGTGGTGTGCGGCTCCTACTCGGTGGGGAAAGAGAAGGTCTTTTTGGGTGAGTGTTTGGAGTTTATGCAAATAGTCATCATTTGTCATAACTGTGCTTTTTAAGTGCTTGTCAGCCACTCGGAGAAGCCTGCAGGCTTGGCATGATGTATAACTACAGAGTTTTGCAGGCTTTGTCTGAGCTGATGATAGTTTATAGAAAGTAAAGTCAGTGAGGAATGTTTTTGCTTTAAGTTGAAATGCTTGCATGTTGTATATTTAATCATGTCAGGATATTTATGATGAATTCTTGTCAGCTGGATCACCACATTTAAGTTACTTAAGTTTTTTTTTTTTTAAAGGTTTATACAATAAAGAGAAGCAGTATATTTTCATCCAAACGAGGTGTTAAAATATATAAAGCAGCTTAAATTTCAGTTCCATCATTGATAAATATTTAAACACTGACCTTTTTATAACATTTAATTCAGACTTGAGGCGTGTTTATGTTTATTGCTCAAGTGATGGCACAATTTTTTTAATCTAAATATCAGTTGTATGTTGTTCTGTTCTCTTTTCTTAACATTTTATAAATCATGGAAACTCATCTGCTACATTTTCAGTGCATGTTTTTTGTGAATCGTCAGGCGGCAAATAAGTAATTATCCAACATATTCTCTTGGGATGGGAGTTTTTATATCTTGCGCATAATTCAACGTCAGTCTGATAATTAGGCAGAGTGATAAGTGACATTTTTGATGGCTAATTGTATTACTGAAAGATAATTTATTGATATATTCTGGGAACGGTGATATGACCGTGAGCCATTACCAGAGCCGTAAACTTGGTTTCTAAAACCAATCATAGCATGAGTGGATTTTTTCCGCAGCCTTAAATCACTACCTGACCTCCTTCCTCTATTGAAAGGTCGTCAGTTGGAGTTTGGAGAATTCGTGGATTAGTGTTTTTTCAGAGAAAGATGTCGCTCTCTCTCTGTTGTCCTCATTTTTTGGAGGCAAACAGTCCTCCAGTGACATGTATGAATAATGGTCTGATCCACTTTCTGGTGGAGTGAAGTTCTCAAACTAATGTCGTCGTCGCACAGAGTGAACAGCATGGATTCATTCTGTAATCAACTCTCCTTCAACAAGCTCCACATGAAATTGTTGCTGGAAAAAAACAACAGCTGATTGGATTGTTTGTAAGACTGTACTGATCCACTTTGCAATGTTAATTCACCAGATTATTTATACACTTCATAAGGCTGGAAACACAACACAGTATATTCAGGTTATTTTAAATGAGACATCCGACAGTCTATTTTTACCTCTGCTGAGAAGCTTCTGTTTTCATTGTTGTTTGTCTGTTTGCTGGATCATGCAAAAACTACTGAACCAATTTGATTGAAACTTGATTGATTTTGTGAATCAAAATAACTATTTTTAACCACAAGTTACACACTGAGTCTTAAAATGAGGCGGCTGAATTTCCCACATTTATGCTTCTTATATGGACTTGGTTCTGCTTGATTTGCAGCACTGGCAGAAGTCCTAGGGTCCAAAGTGTGCCTCTCGAGAGACAAATACAACACCATGTGTTGTCTGGAGTCGGAGCAAGTCAGACAACGGATCACCACCGACTGGAAGGCTGCCCAAGTCCACGTGCTGCCCATGATGCAGCTCTCCTGCAACGTAGGCGCACCAGTCACATCTTAGATCTGAGAGCAGACACTGAGCCCTCGGGAGTAAAAAGAAGTTCTATTTTAGTGGCATGTTAAGCAAACATCAGTGGTTAGAGTTTAACAATTGGATTATATATCACATTCGACTTGTATCCCTCAGGCAGTTTCTTTGTGTATTCATGGCATGAGTCCACACACTCCAATAATAAACACCCAGGGTGAGATGAGTTTAACGGCTCCATTTAGTAAAACTACTTATAGATAAGAGGGAATAGAGCAAGCTATTTTAGTATTGCAATGATTTCCCAAATAGTCTGCAGTTCTCTTTTATTAAATTTGTATTGTGTTAAAACGAGGTCTGATTATTTCTGGACAGTATTTTTTTCTGCCTTTGCTTTAGTCATACACAATTAAGTGGGACAGGAGTAAAAATGATTAGCAAATGCTTATTATGACTGAAGCACGTCATCTCTCTTAAACTGACTTATCTGTATAACCACAGATGAGTTCCAGTCTGGGTATGATTACCTCATCACTGTACACACAAAGGCTGACTAAGGGACAAATGGACGCAGTTACAGTTTGTACTAAGATCTACTGAGGAGCGAGTCCTCCATGAATAACAGCTACGAAAAGCTGTTAGTTATAACCACATTTTTAAGTTTAATGTTTGTTCTAGTAAATAAGCAATACATTCTGATGCTTCGTTGTAACTACAAACACATTGGCTGCTGTTCCCGGTAGTAACTGTTCTGTGATGACGTTCTTATTGTCCACAGAAACTGCAGCAACACCTGGCGCGGTTCTCACAACAGTACGATCGGCTGGTGGCCTTTAAACCCACCGGCTGGACCTTCAGCCAACAGATGGAATCAGTGGAAGACATTCAGCCTCAGATCACTGGCAACATCTCCATTTATGGTACGCATTTAACTTCTTCCTGACAAAACATTTGTCAAATGATGTGTCAGAACTGAGAGTGTGTACTGTATATCCGACCCGAGGCCATTGGGACAGAACAGGCGGGGTTATTCAGGGTTGGTTCGGTCAGAGAGAACACTGTAGACTCTGCTACAAGGCTTAGAATAATAATAGTGAATGAGGTGGAATAGCCCACAGTACATTTCTTAATTAGTTAGTCCCTCTCTTTGCTGTTTCATTGCATTTGAAGGTCTTCTGCAAAGTTGGAGGTATTATTGTTGCTCATTCCTGGACAGAACGCCCTTCTCTCTTTTACTGATCAAACACAGAACCCTGCAGTGCTACACAATCTTTCACATCTTCCCACATTCAAGACTTAACCAGCAGCCTTCTCTCTGCCAGAAACAACATGCCACTGCAGATGTAGCCTGTTTTTCTTCCCGTCCGTCCTGTTTCATGTTCTGAAAAGATCCATCAGCAGCATCAACCATCTGGCCCCTAGCCCTCAATCACCAGCAAGAGGCCTTTTGCGTTGCACACACTCATATAATTTCTTCCTCTTCAGCAGTTTGTGTGTCACTCAGGCGGAAGCCAATTTACGCAGTCTCTCCCTCTTCTCGCTCTGCCCCGTGTTTACCTCCTCCTCTTTGCCCTTCCCAGCCATATGCTGCTACTGCTCCTAATATTGTTCTCTGCATGGTGGAGGACTGACTGGTATACCAGAGGGGGCTCATTTTGAGCTAGATCTGTTGAGAGCAGCAGTGGGGCACATTAAAACCCGTGGAGGGATGATGGAGGACAAACGAGAGATGCCAGCTTTCTGCCGCAGCTTCAAACTGTTTTCTTATTTTCCCCTCGAAACATAAACATTTTTTGATAGTTAATGTCTCAGCGTCTGAAATTTGCCTGTGGGTCTGCGCATCTGGTCCCCCCCCCTGGGACTTTGCCATGTTGCTTGTCTGACTGGCTTCCCCACACCTTTAGACATCTGTCTCAGTGACAGTGTTTTACTGAAAACCAAATCCCCTCTGGTGTCACCGAGCATGACATTTCATTATCGAGAAATGAGGAAGAAAAATATTAAAGCAGATGAGCTGAAAGTGAGAAGCAAGTCTGAAATTCCATCTGGTTCAGTGTTTAACCACTGCTGGCCTCTTTCCCTTAAAGACTTTGCTCCTTAATAAATAGAAATTTATTTTAGCTACATCTAAAGCAAACTGGCTGTTTCAAGTGCCAAAGTTTGGATGCGTGTTAATCACAACTTCTTTTTTCTTGACAGGAATCCCGTACAGTGAACACAGCAGCTTTCTGGAGTTGAAACGTTTTGTGCAGTGGATCAAACCTCTCAAGATCATTCCCACAGTCAACAACGGCAGCTGGGCCAGCAGGAAGGCCATGGAGAAGTGCTTCAGTGACTGGCTCATGGAGGCTAAAGCCAAACTGTAGCTTATTTACCTGTAAACTGTGTTAAACGCTGCTGCTGATTATCATTTCTACAACTACCATACGAGCACGGGGAACAAATGCATTTTAACTGGACGTATTTTATCGAAGTTGTTTTCCTCAAGACTGTTGAGCTCATATTCAACACATTCATTCAACAGTACAGTTTTGTAAACATGACTTGAGGCCAAACATGTATCATGAACCACAATTGTTAAACATTGGAACAGAATTAACTAGATGGCTACTAATTACACCAGTGATGTCACTAAAGGTTCTGCTTTGAGACTGTCCTATTTGTTTTCCAATGTATGTAATTTAAACAATTTATGCTGAGAAAATAAAAGTTTTAACGGTTCCTTTAACCCTTTTATTTGGCAGCATTAACATGTGTTTAGTTTAATAATTCAAATACAAATGATCAGTGATTTGACAATTTGGTCAAAATGTATTCAGAATCATTTCAACAGATTTATTGTTCAATCTGCTTTTATAACATTTATTTACAAGAGAGTGAATTAGTAATTGAGCACAGCTTGAATATCACAGTTGACGAATGTAAAAAAATAAATGTCCTTTATGGTTTTCTCATACCTGTGTAATAGCTCCATTAAAAGTTGAAACACTAACCTTGGAATAGTGGATTCATTATCGTGAGGACAGCAGTGGTCTGAATATTATCTGATCATATGAGTGCAGAGGCTTTGTCCTCGCTCTCTGTGGACACTCATCACTGGACATATATATATTAAATATGCATTTTAAATATAAAAATGCTGTGCAACCCTGCAAATATTGTCCACTTGATGTTGTCTTTGTTCGTGACTGGCATTGGTCACTAGACGTGAACTATGTAAGGAAAAATCAGCTTCCCAATTTATATTAAAATTACATTTCTGTTTCAAATCAGAGAGAAGTGGGGTGAAACGCAGCCTGAGGGGAAACACCATTCTGTCTGCATATTAATTCACAAGACTCTGCCTGAGGTACAGACGTCACCAAGGTCTCTTCCTACATCTGTTAATACTTACATCTAGTATTCTCATAATACGAATAATAAGTTAGAAATGTGGACGTATGTTTCTGTTTTTTCATAGGAGACAATTTAACATAAAGATAAAAAACCTCATCTCTCGTCATTTTTTTTGCACTACACGTCTTGCACTTCAATTTTAATCTCTGGGTCTAGAAGCTTTTGTTTCATCCCAAGCACAACATTGTCTTTTACAATTCCAGCATCAAACATACATTTCCTTAAGATTAGTATTTCAGATACTATATGTACAGTATTTATCATATAACAAAAGAGTGTAAACAGATTTGACAGTATTTAACTTGTAGTGCACTGATGGTCTTTGCACAGCAGATACACACAATCAAACTGCAGGTCCATTGTGTGTGACACTGGCAAGATAAACATTTTTCACTTAAGGCTCTTCTAGAATTTTAAGGTCATTAACTAGCAGGGAGGACAGTTAAAGAGGTAATGACAACAACCCTGGAAAAATACTGTGATTTACAGCATTACAAACCCAGCTGTGGGCAGCAGGCGCCTCAAGGAGTCACTTCAACACACCCAGACGCAAGAGTAGAAGTTGATCCATCTCCACTGGTCAGTTTTCTGTCAGCGGCTGCAGAGGCAGGTTGGGGAATGCAGAGGCAGACATCCAGGTAGACGCAGGATGGTGAGTTTCACCTGAAAAGAGAAATAATTCTGCCCCTCAGATCACAGAGTGCACAGGAGCACGTACACAGCAACATAATGAACACATGACGTTGTGTTGGTGACTCTGATGGACGCACCTCGTTCTTCAGCGACTTGCTGATGTACGTGCTGAACTCCGTCACGCTGCCGATCTGCAGGTCGTTAATTGCCAGGACTTGGTCTCCTCTGTGGAACAGACACACTGGCTGGCCTGTCCACCCAGACACACTGTGACAAAAACACACACACAAACACACACACACACACACACACACACACACACACACCCTTCTATCAGTGTTAACAAAGGCGCATCTTAAAGTCGTGTGGCCCTTTGTCGGCCGTCTTCCCCTGTCATTTTTAACTTATGGCTGAAACCACTGAATTTCTATTGAAATTACAAACGCACAAATATATTCAGTTCAGTACTTTAAATGACTTACATCAGCGCACAGATTAAAAAAACAATTATAACATTGTTGACATCTTAAGAGCTGTCAATGAAAGATATCGGACAATGACAGCTGCTGCTCGCCAATGTGGCCAACTTGACGATATTATCCAGTCTTCTTTTGTTTGAGACATTCAGGTTGACGTACTAGGATTCGAGTCAGGGGTCACAACAGACTCAATAAATAACCGATACAGGTTCAGTGCGTCTCTCATGGTTTGTCTGGGTCGTTTGAGTGGCTCTGTTCACTTGTCCCTCTGCACAATAGACTACATAAAGATGGACGACATGACAGATCCCAAAAGGTTGAAGCCAAACATCTCCATCACCCCCTGGTGTCTGGCTGCAGTATAGATCGTACAGCCTTGAACCTTTAAGATTTTATTGCAGAACTTACCCTGGTTTCCCGTCCACCTCTGTTAGTGTCAGGTGCTTTTTCAAATGTGCCTGCTTGATCTCAATATCTATTTCCTCTGGGATGATGTGGTCAAGACTTGAAAGAGAAATGACAGAGAACAAAAGCTTTACTCAAAGTTTTGCACATAGAAAAAAAAGAAATGCATCTAAATCTTAATTCATCTATCTTTTTTTATTGTCTTATTGTTTCCAAGGTGAAATAATTGAACCAGCTTGAATGACATTTGCTGAGGTTGTAGCTGACAAACATAAAAACACACTCATTGTCATTGTCTCATTCCTCCATGATATTGTGATGGGTGTCCACTGAAACCTCCAGAAACTTCTCTAACCAGTCCTGCAACATATCAGCGCTGATCCAGGCATTCCTTCCTGATCATTTATTTTATGTGGTGATGTTTGGTTTTTGTTTGTTCTCTGTCACCATCACCTCTGACTCTAAATGGCAGAGGTGCAAACACAGTCTGTTGAAGAAGAGCACCCACTCTAGCTCCCTCCCTGCCCCACACCTCCAGTGTTTGTCTTGTTGCTTTTTTTTCCAGATTCAGGGTAAATTCCTTTAGAGTCTCACCTCTGTGTGGAGCTTTGCTTCTCCAGCGAGGACACATTACGACCCTCCAGCATCTCTCCAAGGGAGATGTCCCCGTTCTCGCTGGAGCTGCTGCTGCTGACATCTGAAGGATGAGTGTCATCTCTGTGAAAGCGTGGGGTATTTCATCAGGCACTTGAGTTACAGTCAATTATGCATGTGTTCTTGGTAGACGTCCAAAAAAAAAAATAGTGAGATGGTGAAAATAAACTACAAAGAGGCACTTGTGTTGCCAAACACACCCACTGAAGCTCCAAACTCAGAGGAAGAAGTATCAGAATGCACCGTCATGGCAGGTGACTCACAAACAGATAACAAACACTAGAGTCTGTCACGGCTTTATAAGCCCGGGATGGAAAAGCCCCAACATTTGCCCTTGTGGCAAAAATAACAACAAAGGAAGAAGAAGCGTTCGGTAAAAGGTGCAAGAGAACGGTAAACGCCAGAAACCAAAACTAGACTCTCAGTTATTTATAGAAGGGACCAAAAAGCAGCATGGGAGAGGTAAATAATTTCCTTATCACTGTGCAGGCGCAAGAGGAATTCTAATCAAGTAGCGCTTCAGAAACAAGTCTCAAGACTCATATGACAAATGTAGGGAAGGTGGTCTTCAGTGTGCCAGCGCAGTGGTTGGCCACTTAGAAAGAAATCAGACATCAGTGTGAACCATGAAATGATCACGTAACATATTTCAGCAAAGTTAACAAAGAAAACAACAGCGGAGAGTGTTTATACACAAGAGATGATGAAATGGATAAGCTGGGAGAGATGATGAGACGTGATTAAAACTAAACATGAAGGTCATGTAAAACCTGCCTTCTGGAAACAGCGGTGGCATCTGTTCAATCTCACAACCTTTTTTGCTCAGTTTCCGTGTTGAACTACACGTTTGCTGGAAACTGTGTAATGGTGTGCAACAGGATTCTAGGTACTTTTCCTCTTGTTTGGAGGGTGTGTCAGAAACGTTGCATAATCAGCCCCAACTTCACGGTATAAGTGCAATGAATTATAAAGTTCTCTCGAATCCACCAGTTGCTGCTTGGGGTTTGCATAAAGGTAGAGACTGTAACTTTAAGCACATTTTAAAGTTTTAAAGACGTATTTAAACCCAGGTCATCCACCTCAGAGATTTCATCCACAAGAAAGTGCTGCGATAGTTGCAACGCTTGCATATCACATATATTTATATATGAAGATGAATGACATGGCAGGTAAGTCACAATGTAGTTCACAATGTGATTCATTCATTTTTTGGATTTCTTTTGATACTTCTTTCCTTTTTGGTGTGTGTGTGTGTTCTCCTTTTCCTTTCCCCCTGTGTTTTGTATATGTAATAGATAAACTAAATGAAAAATAAGAAAAAAAAATATGTATTTATAACCTCTTTCACAAGGTTACAGTCAAATGCGTAAGTTGCTAAACAGCTCTGCGGTGCCGTCCTCATGTGTCTTTGGAAGAGTCAACAGTCCTGCTCCGTTAAATTAATGCCCTCGTTGTGTTTGAGCCAAATGAGTCTGGTTACCACTGACAACTGAGCTATTTTGGTATCTAGGGCACTGACAAAACATGTTGCACAAAGAGTGTAGGGTGAAAAGTCAAAACTACACACAGCCCACAAAATAAAGAAGAAAACCCCAGTGATGAATCTGTGGTGTACCTGTCGTCACTTTCTGTCTCCTCCCTGAATAGAGGCGGTGGCATCTTCAGTTTTTCAAAGTGCTTAGTGAGAGACATGACGCTCCTGTACGTGACCTCTTCAACTTCACGGTCCCTGCAACCATTTGACACAATCAACTCCATTCGGTTTATTATATATGAGGTTGTGTGAATCCAACTGATGCTGCCTGAGCTACTTACTCATCGTGACTTAGTTTATTCATCGTTTCATATCTGCAAGACATAAGTATTTAAATAGCAGACACACAAGCAAAGAATGTAAAAGATTGAAGGTCGAGATTGAAGCATGTCAGTGTGAGATAGAAGAGACACAATGCGCTTTTGTCTGACTGAGAGAAACAGTAATCAGCACTTACAGAGTGTCTTCAGTTTCGGCACAGGTCGAACCTTGTTCCTCGACCTCATTCACAAAAACAGACGAGTAACAGTCAGATCATCTACGGTGTCACATTTTCAGGAGCTAAATTCAATGAATCACAATATTTGATTCAGCTAACTGCTCTTGATCAATCAGTTCATTCATTCACTGCAAGGATGAAAACTGAATATCTTTGGATTTTGGGGGTCAAACAAAACATTTGAAGTCTTCACTGCAAGGAACTTTAACTTTAAAAAAACAATCAAACAATCAAACAACAAATCAAGAAAGTTGCTGGCAGATGAATTGATGTTAAAAATAAATGCAGTCCTACTTGTTTTTGGCATAAGTCGGATCTCGGGTAGTCATAGATCGGCTCTGATAAAGGTCTCCTGGAGCAACCTTCACTCTGCTGGCCAATCAGAAAGCAGCACGCCACATATCATCAAAAAAAATGAGTATAACCTTCAACTGATACTTCTCATTAATTACAAACAATGACGTCAAGATGTTTCACCTTTGATTTGTCAGTGTTGTCCAAACAATTTGACAGTGGGTCAGAGGCAGACCGTATTTTGGGTGATTGCTGAAAACACACACACACACACACACACACACACACA